CAAGAAAGAAGATTCCACCTAAACATTAGGAAGAACTTCCTGAGAGTAAGAGCTGTTCGACAGTGGAATTTGCTGCCAAGGAGTGTGGTGGAGTCTCCTTCTTTGGAGGTCTTTAAGCAGAGGCTTGACAACCATATGTCAGGAGTGCTCTGATGGTGTTTCCTGCTTGGCAGGGGGTTGGACTCGATGGCCCTTGTGGTCTCTTCCAACTCTATGATTCTATGATTCTATGAACTGCAATGTTAGGGTCAGGGGTCAGGATCTGGGGGCTAGGGGTTCAAGGGTCAGGGTTCAGGTTAGATTTAGGGTCAGGAACAAGCTTAGGGTTTATGGTTATGGTTTGGGCCAGGGTCAAGGGGACAGGGTTAAGGTCAGGAGACAGTGGTTGATGGTCAAGGTATAGGGATGAGAGGTCAGGATCAGGCTTAGGTGTCAAGTGTCAAGGTTAGGGTTAAAGTCACCTGCTTTGGGTGATAACTCCTGAGTGCCCCCAACCCAGAAATGCCTCAGGATAATACTCAACAAATATCTTGATTTCCATCGCCTGTACAACATGCCAAACAGACCAAAACAGCCAAACAAGAACTGTAGTACTACATTGTGCTTTCTCTAAGCCACTTGTCACATATCTCCTCTTCAAATGCAAAACAGGCTCTTCAAATGCCCACCTTTTCAGGATAATAGTTTAATTTCCTGAAATTGGAATGTTTGCTTCTATTGAATTGCTGTGTATTTTATTGCATGGCATTTTTCTTTTGGCAGTAGCTCTCTCATGTGATTGGCTGAGTCACATGAGAGAGGCATTCCATTCTGTTGTGACTCTTATTCCAGGAACTGTCGTTTTTATCAGCTTTTTCTGTTTCTTCCGTCTGGGTGTGCCTATGTGAGTAGAATGGCTGCCAGGAGAGGTTTCCTTGGATGCTTCCGAGGGCGGTATGGTCTGTCTAGGAAGAAACCTGTGCTCTCTATAAGAAACAAAGTGAATAAGCAGGAGATTGTAGATATGTTCTTCTCAGTTATATGTTTTTGAAAGTAAAGTTCTTTTGAAAACAAAGAGACTGGACATATCATAGCATATCCACACACCCCATACCTGAGAGATGGGCAGGACCTGAGCTCTGGCCTCCCACTCTCCAACAAGGGTCAAGGGTCCAAAGAGAGGGGAAGAGAGCCTTGATTGATCCCTCCCAACATCTGGAATCCAGACCAGACTTTCGACAGAGCTTGCCATCTTTGCTGATTATGAGTAAACCAAACAGCTATATTGTAATGAATAGGCTAGGATTAGTCCAGTTTTAGAGGCACAGGGCTCTGGTTTATTGCGTAGTCTTGTTCCAACCTTCTGTCTGCTTCCCCCCTACTTTTTTCAATATAGTTTCCTAATCTGACCACTGCAGTGTGTGTGTGTCTGCCAACCTCAGGGTTCTGGAATCCCCTTGTGCCGAGACGCCTGGAGTCCATGCTATTGAAAGTTTCGGACCAGTGTTGTGAAAGTCCAGCACGTTCTTTGGAGATATGGGAGACTTGGGGAGTTTGGGCTGCCTTTACACTGTAATTTATAAGGTAACTGTCTCGTAAACGCAGGGTGTGTCAGTCTCCAGAGTTCCTGGCTTTTAGGAAGTTTATGTGGGGAGTTCAGTCTCATTCAGCATGCTTAGCTCTAGTTAATGCATGAAGGGGTTAAGACCATAGAGTAAGCTGTTTTCCTAGACTCAGCTAGGTTACGCCCCCTCACCTTTAGTGATGAACAATTTAAAAAGTGCATTAAAACAGGATATTTAAAGGGTCTGTAAATGCTTTGCTGCATGTTTTGCTTAAAAACCTCTCCTGGGGCTCTCTCTTACCAGGGAGTATTCTGCCTTACATTTGGATCTAGGGATCCAGCAAATTCTTCATTACTAAACTAATCAAATAACTACACAGGTTATGGGCTCAGAATGTGGAATCTTTTGTTGAGATTCTAGTGAGGAATATTATGCAGGGTTTCAGCTTGTTGAAGGAATTTAAAAACTTGTTTTTTTAGAGTGGAGAAAGATTTTTCTCCCTCTTCTGCAGTAGGCAGAAGTTTTTTTTTCTTTGTTGGAGATTTTTTTTAGAAGTGTCTCTTTTTACGATAAGACAGCCAAAATCTTGTTGCTGCTCAAAGCTGCAGACTGCTTAATTTTACTCAATGGAACAGGTTGGAAACCATTATGAAAGTAAGAGGCATTATAGCTTGCATCGAGGAAGAAAAGCCTAGAGCTGGTGCAGAATTAATAAAATGGGAACAGCAGAATGACATAGCAGTGTCTATTAATTTGGATAGTTTTTCAGACACCCAGATGGTCCACGCTAAACATTGCGATACTGCTACCGAGATGACTGACAATTTACCAGTCTTTCGTATTTGCAAGCACACATTCTCATCCAGCTCGAAGGAACTATTCAAATTAAAGCTTGAGTTCAAGAAAGACTAACAATCATGGGTTCCTAGCCATTATTGAGGAACTGGAACAAGCAGATTTTAAAGTGGATGATGTACTGAGAGTCTGATACTTTTTGGAGTAAGAAAGGCAAAAGTAACCCTAACTGATGTCATTGTTTGTTTGAGAAAGGAACGAGAAACCCAATTTCAGAAAAAAGCCAAGGCTCCAGCCGAAACTTATTTGTTTCAGATGAAGGAGGACATATATCCAATTGTTGTGAAGCCCCAAACCCAGCAAAATCCCCTTCACTAAAGCAACCAAATCCCAAAGGAATCAAAATAAGCTATTTTCTTTTGCACGGGAAGAGTCTAACTTTAAATAACTGTGATACAAAATCAAATAAGTGGTTAATTGATTCAGGATTTCTTCTCACATGGATTATGATAAATATTACTTTGGAGGCATTAAGAATATTAATTCATCAGTGGATGGAAGTATTCAACTGTTGATACCATGAAGATATTTAAATACCGCCCTATACCTGAAGGTATAGATATGCAGATCTATGATTTATTTGACCATCACAACTGACAGTTGAGGGGGATGTGCCAGGGAAACAGACAAGCTCAGGTGAAGAGACGTTGCTCTAGTTTTAATATTTCCAAGTATAAATTTGTCTTCTTTTTTGAAACTCTTTTTATTGATTTTCCAAGGTACGTAACAAAGAATAAACAATAACCTAACACAACTATTATGGTCTGTGACAAGCAAGATTACTGTAGTATGGTAAAGTGAGTAGGGCATTTTGCTTGGTTAAATGCAGATATCCTGGCCTGGTCCTGATCCGAGTTTTGTCTGTGTTCTTTCTCTGAATAATTCACGAATTTTAAAAAATTTGATGACATCTGTGACAACTTAAATTTTGAGTATGTGTTTTAAGGATTTTCTTTTATTTCTTTATGTATATATGTTAAAACCTTTTAAAGTATGACTGAATTTTATGTTACGTTTTGAAATCTATTTTGTTCTCCATATGTGGCGGGGATGCTTAACAAGTCATGGGCAGAAATTCTAGCAGTGAGATTTGGCTTAGATTTAAATTAATCTTGTATAATTTTATAAAAGAAAGTCAGAGCTGTCTTTCTGGTTCATATAATGATGCAGTGAGAGGGTTCACTAGAAATGTTCACAGGCTTTCAAAGGAGAGAGATGCTGGCTCCTTCAGAGGAGGAACACCTTTTATTCTGGATGTAAAACCACTGAGGTCCAGATCTATTAAATATAGCAGCTGTTGGTAACTTTGGTGAAGAAGGAAGAAGCAAAGCCATGGAAGCTCCAGCTGGAGATGAAGGCCTTCTCTCCTCAAGAAAACTTTTTTGTCCAGGATTTGGGTCAGTGTACAAACAAGTATGGAATGAGTCCCTGCCTGAAAGCATGCATTTCTCCCACAAATTAAATGAGATGCTGAAGTAAAATTCAAATTGATATAGCCAGAAGCCTGTTGCCTGTCGGCAAGACAAACTGAGAGGAAACCTTGGTATCATTCTTGCTGGGAAGCAGAACTTTCCAAACATAACCCAAAATTGCTGGAGAATGGCAGAGCCTCTCCAAGATGGAAACCAGGCCCCTATAACCAGGGCACTTAAATAATGCCTGCTATATTGCAGCCATGCTGGGGAAAATACTGGAACACAGAAAGTGAGGTACAGTGGTACCTCGGGTTACATACGCTTCAGGTTACATATGCCGCTAACCCAGAAATAGTGCTTCAGGTTAAGAACTTTGCTTCAGGATAAGAACAGAAATTGTGCTACGGCAGCGCGGCGGCAGCAGGAGGCCCCATTAGCTAAAGTGGTGCTTCAGGTTAAGAACAGTTTCAGGTTAAGTATGGACCTCCAGAACGAATTAAGTACTTAACCCGAGGTACCACTGTATTTCTCAACTTAAAAGTAAAGGCTCCATTATTCACTCCCTACCCGCAAAATAGACTAAAAAAACCCCATAATGACAAGAGATCCCCCTAGATTTCCCCGTGTGGCTGCTGTTGTGACTGCAATCAATCCTATACATCAGGGGTCAGCAAACTTTTTCAGCAGGGGGCCGGTCCACTGTCCCTCAGATCTTGTGGGGGGCTGCACTATATTTTTGGGGGGGGAATGAATGAATTCCTATGCCCCACAAATAACCCAGAGATGTGTTTTAAATAAAAGCGCACATTCTACTCATGTAAAAACACCAGGCAGGCCCAGCAAATAACCCGGAGATGCATTTTAAATAAAAGGACACAGTTTACTCATGTAGAAACACGCTGATTCCCAGACCGTCCGCGGGCTGGATTGAGAAGGCGATTGGGCCGGATCTGGCCCCCGGGCCTTAGGTTGCCTACCCATGCTATACATGAAACCGCAGAGAGATCAAGAAGAATATTCCTACTTGGGATGAGGGACAGCTTTAAATGCACAGGGGCCCCCTTGTAGCAGAATACTCCTACTGTCCATTGGAACTCCCCGTCATGCGTCCCTGTAGAGGCAAAACTGCCACAAGTTTCCTAAAACCAAAAGGAACCAGGAGCAAAAAGCCCACCAAACCTGTAGCTGGTTTCTAAATCCTATATTTCCAGGTGTAACAGACACACATTGGCACTTTTATCTACAAAGGAATAAACACAAAATGGTACTGTTGACAGAAACACACGAACACGACACAACAGTCTCATAAAATGGAGGGTCTTGCTTTACGAAAAGAGAAAAACAGAACAGGCGGAATATCCGTGTCTCCAATAAGTTACATTTACATTGCTTCCCACTTGCTTACAAAAAGAGCAGAATAAACTACAAGCAAAAGAAAATCTGCTAAAGGGGAAAGAGGAGGTGTGTGTCATCTGTGGCCATCAAGAACCAGAGCAGGCCCAACTTCCGCCTTGGACCCGTCTTGGAGTACTTTTGTTCCTTCTCATTCATCAGCAGCGGATTCCCATTCTGTGGCCACAGAACTTACAGCACAGTATGTGGGAGTTGGGAAAAGTTCTCTGGCAACTCCATCAGTGTTTCAAGGGCTAGTCAGGTTCGTTTTAGTCCTCAATGATTATTGGCTCATCATTCACAGGCTGCTGTAGATGTAAACCTGTTACTGGCCAGAGGACAATAGGCTTGTAAGGCCGTCTTGCAGCTTGTTTCGCTTCAGAGAAAGAAAGCAACTTCCGGATTTTCCTGGCAGAGAATGAAAAGAAAACGTTGTCACAAGACTAGATACTTGTAACTTTCTTTTCCTGTTTTTATCACTTGCTTCAAGATCTGTTCAGTTAGGGGGCTGTATAAACATGCTGTTTCCTTTGTTCTATTATTATTTTAATTTATTCTCCGCTTTTCACCCTAAGGCGGGTTACAATAATTTAAAATACAGCATTAAAAGCAGTTTAAAACAACCTATAATCACGAAAATAGGGTGGGTCCTAAAAAAAATATGGTGCTATTACTTCCCTTGATCTGGACACTAGACTTCTGTTGATACAGCCTAGAATAGCATTTATTTTTTTGGCTGCTGCATCAGTTAACTCAGTTAAGCCCTAGATCCTTTTCACATGTACTACTGGCAAGCCAGATGTCTCCCATTCTATATTTGTGCATCTGGTTCTTTCTGCCTAAGGGCAGAACCTTACAGATGTTCCTATTGAAATTCTATTTGTTAGTTTGGGCTCAGTTCTTCAAACCGTTAAGGTCAACTTGAATCCCAATTCTGTCTTCCACCGCAATGTTATGCTGAAAGCTGTATTGAATTCCAATGGCAAATTATTAAAGAAATTCTTAGAGCCGATTGCCATCCTTAGTGACATTGACAAAATGAAAGGTCTGCCGTCTAGCATGGATTATGTTATGTTCAATACAGCATTAAGTTTGCATTAAAAGCTTCCTAACTCGTGAAAACCTGTGTGTCTGGCCTCACAACATGTGCCACTTAGTTATGTGTTTTATGTATTATATTACACGTGCTTTACTATCCAATTCTCATTTAACTTTGCTTGCTTGCTAAAGTATGTTTCGTAAAACTTTACTGGAGGTTTTTAAGCAGAGGTTGGATGTCCATCTGTCATGATGGACAGATTCTGGTTCAGTAGGAAGAACAATCATGGGGAAGACCTGACAGTTGTGCAGAAAGCCGTCATTGAGACCCTCCATTAATGTGCTTCGTTACAGCACTTTGGGAACATCCAACTTCTTCTGCAATTACCTTTTGAGGCTTTCCCTCCTTATGGAGGGTCTCAGTGATGGCTTTCTGCATAACTGTCAGGTCAGCAGCCTTCCCCATGATTGTGCTTCCTACTGGACCAGACTGAGAGACCATTCAAAGGCTCAGGAACCCATTGCAGGTGTTATGGATTGAATAGCTACTGCACCTTTTCACAATATTCTAAATTTCTGAGATTGTTAATTTGGGGGTTTCATCAGCTGTACACCATAATCATCACAATTATGACAAATAAAGGCTTGACATATCTCGCTTTGCATGTCATGAGTCTATCTCATATATTAGTTTCACCTTTTAAGTTGAATTACCGAAATAAAGGAACTTTTCCACGATATTCTAATTTTTCGAGTTTCACCTGTAAGTGGTAAATTCAGCACAGCAGGCTAAGGAGAACTCAACTTTTGGTTGAAGACGGCCATTTCACCAGGTCTGATTTTTTCCCAAAAAGAAACTATTGATTCATTTCAATCTTACTCTATCTTTTCAGAAGCTCAGTCATTAACCAATTGTAAATTACATTTGATCGCTCTTAATAGAATCACAGAACGGACTCTTACTGAAGTGCACATGCTACCTGGTTTCCTCGGTGGCCATGTAGAAAACATCGTCAGGAGCGTCAATCCAGTTCATCCTCTTCCTTTTCACTGGAAACATGGTTCCACCACGGATTAACCGGACTTTTGTTTGGTATGATTTCCCATTGAGCAGCAAGTTTCGACTTGGTCCCTAACGCAATACATAAAGAACAACAAAAACGTTATGGGTCCCTGCAGAAACCACTTTAGGAACAAGTACAGTCACACCTCGTTACGTTTGCTTCATGTTACGTTCTTTCAGGTTATGTCCCGCGGCGACCCAGAAGTACCGAAAGGGTTACTTCCGGGTTTCGCCGCTCGCGCATGCACAGAAGCTCAAAATGATGTCACACGCATGCGCAGAAGCGGCAAATCGCAAACCGCGCGGGTTGCCCTCTTTTCATGTTGCAAACGGGCCTCCGGAACGGATCCCGTTCGCAACCAGAGGTACCACTGTGTCTCTTAAATGGACAGAAAATGAGAACTTTTCTTGCTGTAAATTCCTGCTCTGATGGGAGGCAGGGGAACATCCAGTATCATGTGAGATATACCTGACAGGAGGCAGAGCATTAGCAGTTGGAGGGGTCCAATTTCTCCCGACTGTACTGGAGCAGAGACCCTATATAAAGGGGTGTTGGGAGGGTCCACCATCTGTGGGTGACAAGCATTAAAGAGCTACCTTTGAGAGAGGACTCTGCATCTTCTTTTCCCTTTCTCTTTTTTGTTTGTTTTTATTCACATTATTTTTTTCGTCTATTATGAAAAAGCTTGAATAAAATCTTACGGGGGAAAATAAACGAAAGGCTGCTGGGTGTGCAAACAGTACCGACCCCAGTAAGCTCACCAAGAGAGATTGTTTGGATTCAAGGGCGCGCTACCTCGCCTTCCATCTGTCAATAGAAGGGTGAACGAATTCTAATCCCCAACAGCTGAAGTGGTAAAATAACCTCCTGCCTCCCTTGCATGCAGAGATTTATGGGAAGAAGAAGAAAAAATACTGTTTTCTCTCATGTAGTTTGAAGGGTGCTCAGTATGTGTTCATCATGTTCCCAGGACAGTTTAGAAAAGCAAAGCAAAGCAAAAGCATAAAAGTTGCAGCAACAGAACAGGTAGCACCATAGAGACACCGTGCCCTCCTGGCATAGAATCACAGAATTGAGAGTTGGAAGGGACCACGACGATCGCAACCCCTGCAATGTAGGAATCTTTTGCCCAACTTGGGGCCTGAATCTATGACCCAGAGATTAAGAGACTCCTGCGCTACTGACTGTATAAAAGTAGACGGCAGCACAGAAAACAAACACCATTCAGCATATAAGCAACATACGGAAGATTTAAAAGCTGGTGGAAATAAAAACACGGTTGGGTGTCGAAATTACAGCATCGACACATTTCATAGTTGGGGATGTCAATCTAAGGTCACAACTGTGAAGAAAGGCTCTAATGAACCCCACCATTTCTCAAAGCCAGTCTAACGCAAAAAGGGTTCTAGATCTTATTAGTTGGAAGAGCCAGGGGATACCCCCTGTAGGAGAGAAATGAGACTTTTAAAATGAGGAGCAACTAATGCCACAGAGGACAAGAGTCAGGATTCGAGATGATGTTAAGCATTGTTGGCAGGGACATCCCGAAGGCCTTTAGGGAGGTATTCTTAGATGCAACGGCCGCAGCTCGGACTTTGGTGGCAAAGGGGTGGAAGGAACAAGAAGCCCCGACAATAACGGACTGGCATTACAAGCTACAAGAATTTGCTGAAATGGCGCAGTTAACAAATACCCTGAGGGGCAATTCAGAACAAAAATTTATGGAAAAGTGGGATAGATATAAAACATATGTTCAAAAATACAGTAAAGGTTCGCTATCTACGCTAGCATTTGATAGACGTTGGAGTGAGACTGAGTTGAGAAATAAGACTAAGAGCGCATATTGATATAGGAATGTATTAGATAAAATGTAAAGAAATATACAATAATAAGAGTACATTCATTTGTAAAAAAGGAATATACAACGGGATAGACAGGAAGTCTAGTGTGTTGGTATGCACCGTATTTTTTGCTCTATAAGACTCACTTTTTCCCTCCTAAAAAGTAAGGGGAAATGTGTGTGCGTCTTATGGAGCGAATTCAGGCTGCGCAGCTATCACAGAAGCCAGAACAGCAAGAGGGATTGCTGCTTTCACTGCGCAGCGATCCCTCTTGCTCTTCTGGCTTCTGAGATTCAGAATATTTTTTTTCTTGTTTTCCTCCTCCAAAAACTAGGTGCGTCTTGTGGTCTGGTGCGTCTTATAGAGCGAAAAATACGGTATATGATTTGGGGGGGATTTGTTTTTTTTTTTTGTTTTTTCTTTTTTTTTTTTGTTTCAATTTCTTTCTAGGTATATAAAATTTGTATATAATTTTTGTATACATGTTGGAAATTATATTATAGTAAGTCCTGCAATGTAATATGACAACGTTTATTGATGTAATATAAGAATGTTAACAAATACATAAAATACAAATTCACAAAAATAAACTGTTATTCACAGGAATAACAGGATGTGCAAATGCAAGATGGGAGACAAGGAGTCCCTGCAAGTAGTTGCTAACATCATTAACACAAAATTATTATGAAAGAACTGTTTGTCAGAGTTCAGAAAAGGAGCGCAAACATTGGATCTGGCTGTAATATTCGCTCGATGACAGCTTGACCTAGTGGACAAGCCCAGAAGTGAAAGATTCTCCGATTCTATACCCTCTTCAGCACAAAGGACATGTTGCCGTTCATGTAATGCAATTTCACAGAGGTGCTCAGTGCGCCAATTTCTGGCTGATGCGATTTGTTTGGGCAGATTGCTCCGAGTCTTATCTCTCCCAGCTTTGACCCAAATATTGGATTCCCATACTGTTTTCAAACCGTTGGGTCTTTGGAAAGGTGACACACTCTTGGCCCTCATGGAATAAATACAAAATGCTCAAATAATGTACATGGGCATCATGCGCCACTTGTGGCAAATACTTTGTGTGTCTGCTACTTTTTGAAACCAATTTGCCTTTCTCACATTAGTTCCGTTAGTCTAGCTTCAGAAATAGGTTGGTTCCTCACATGTAGATCTCCGATTCTGTGTGCAGCCTAGCCCAAATATTGAGATTTATGTGCATGGATGAATTGAGGATAGTCTGGAAAAGGAAGTAACGATGAGACAAGCAGTGGTAAAATCCCTATCAATCGCTTCCTTCCCCAGAATTCAAAAAGGAATTTTTAATCCTTGAAAGAATAGAGCATAACAGACATAAAAGGGATAGTTTTCAAAGAAGGAAAGTGAGCTCCACGGAGACTCATGTGACGTAATTATGATTCTAAATTAGGCTTAATAACCAGCTGAGTAGTATACTCCAAGGGTTGCCAACCTTTTTCGGACTTGTGGACACACTTCAAATTTTGAGAAAGTGCTGTGGATACCAGCCACAAATGTGCATTACACAAAATTAGAGGGAGTGCACCTGAAACCTCATGCTTGATGTGGGAAGTCAGCTGTGATTTCCCAGTCCTGCCCACACCGCCAACAATATTGTTGCTGTCTAATAACAAATGAAATCATTCCCCAATCCCAGGTAAACTATTATAGGTGGACACAGCTCATATGCATCTCTCTCTCTTCTCTCTCTCTCACACACACACACACAAAAATCTGGACCTTTTGCCAGAATTACTAAACTCCATAAGCTTTCCTTTCCACTTTTAATCACATCCTAGAAAAAAAAAATTTTTGTTTATAAAAGCATGTCTATAACGCAAAATCACAAAATATTGGGGTGGTGTTCAACATCAAAACATACAACATCATTTAGGGAGAAAAATACAGCTAATTAAAGTGGCTGGTTAATTAAAAATTAAAACAGCAGCAAAGGCCTGTCAGAGTAAATTTAAATCAGTAGTGTATGAAACAGGAAAATAACTTTTGGCAATACAGTGGTACCTCTAGTTACGAACTTAATTCGTTTCAGAGGTCTGTTTTAACCTGAAACTGTTCTTAACTAGAGGCGTTCTTTTGCTAATGGGGCCTCTTGCTGCCGCCACTGCGCCGCTGGCACACGATTTCCATTCTCATCCTGGGGCAAAGTTCTCAACTCAAGGTAACCCTTCCAGGTTAGCGGAGTTTGTAACCTGAAGCGTTTGTAACCTGAGGTGTTTGTAACTCGAGGTACCACTGTAATGTAATTTTGGTGGCAGTAATCTTCCTCTATTACAAAAGAGTTATTTTATTCCATTATTGGATCAATATTTTCTTTCCTTTTTTTCAGCTGTTTGAAACCCACAATGAGATTTATTCCCTAAAACTTGAGAATGCTGTTGTATTTGTAGCCCTGAATGTTTCCAAAGTTCACCAACTTCAGCTCGTGGGGTGCTGAAACAGAGATCTGATTTATCTTCGTCTGCATCTAGACCTGCTATGAGGCTAAAATCCCGATAGAGGATTTTCAGGTTCCTTAATTTCCTTTTTCAGATTGCTCAGGGCAGGCTCTGCAAAGATACTGACACTGTGAGCTTTGCCTTTGATCTGTAAATTGCTTCTCCTAAAACCTCCACCACCATAGTCAATAACAAAGCTGGCGACAAGGGAGACATTTTCCTGCTGCCTCTAGTGAGACTTAGTGGTTGGAAACCCAAGCCATAGACACAAACTCCATCTTATGGTGAAGACACCTGGTTCACCAAAATCATAAATTTGGCTCCAAAATTTATCTTGGTCAGTGGTTCATGTAGGAAGGCCCACTGCCAAAGTCTTTATAGCATTCAGTGTGAAAACCGATACTGGCCTCATATGAGAATGATGTTTAACACCTTCACCTCAACAGATCTATAACCATCTTACCTGTTGACCATGAACCTAAAGCATGGGTAGGCAAACTAAGGCCTTGGGGCTGGATCCGGCCCAATCACCTTCTAAATCTGGCCCGCGGATGGTCCGGGAATCAGCGTGTTTTTACATGAGTAGAATGTGTCCTTTTATTTAAAATGCATCTCTGGGTTATTTGTGGGGCATAGGAATTCGTTCATCCCCCCCCAAAAAAAATATATAGTCCGGCCCCCCACAAAAAAGTTTGCTGACCCCTGACCTAAAGGGTGCCAAATCAGTGGTTAAACAGAGGATTTGAGATGTAGGTTTTCAGGAGCTTCCAAGGGTTGGACCAGATGACCCTAGTGGTCTCTTCCAACTCCACAGTTCTATGAAAAAACTAAAAACTGAAGGAATGGGTTTCCCAAACCCAAAAACTGACTGTGCAGGCAGTTTGAAACGGGCACCAAAATCCCTATTTTTCCTTAGCTAAAATCCATTAACTTGAGCTCTGAGTCAATGTATAAACAAAAACCCGGCTCTATAAACAAGTGCTCAGAGCCCTCTCCTTTATCAGTTTGTGACGGCAAGGATGACCTTGGCTGTTCCAGTGGAGTAGGGATGACATGTCTGGGTCTTATCTTACGACACTCTGACACACAGACCTAGTCCGGGAACAGCACCAGAGTGTGTTCTTGGAGTTGGTGACCTCTTGCTCCAAGATAAGAGTAGGAACAGGAATACCCTTTTATGGTCAGAAGTACAGGAAGGAATACCCTTTTATGGTTAAGACTACCGGAGCAGGAACATATGTGATGTCAACCTGCGTGTATAGGCTGACGTGGCTGGATTCCTGGGGAAGGAGGGAGAGGGAGCCTGGAGGATATATATACTGCATGAAATTTCTCATTTCTTTGGACTTGCTGTGGACTGACCACGCAAGTGCCTTTCTGCTGTTCCAGAGAGCAGAAATAAAGAACTCTTTCTCTGAACCAACCCTCGGTGTCATTTGACTTCCTTCCTCCTGTCTGGGAGCAACGCAGACCCAATCGGTGGACCCCAATAAGGCTACAAAACTACTGCATAGAGACCCTGCTCCCCTCAGTCATTGGGGTTACCATACTTCCCCTGCAAAGATGAAATGTCCTGAATTATAGGAAAGTTTTCTCTGTGCCAAGGCTGAATGCCCTCCCTTCTAATTTATTAGATGGCAGATAAAATAAAACTCCAATGAACAATAGATGTTGCCCTTGTAACAATGCTGAGGTAGCATTGATGTCCTTTCTTTCTGTAGTTTTTATCAAGTGGCTAGGAGAGACCTAATATATCCTATTATACAGCCCAACCCTTGTATCTGCTTTGACTCTCTTATGATCACAAGCAGCAAGGTTTTTTTAATATGGCCATCCTTATTTGATCTATTAAGGTTGCTTGATACATATATTTTTCAGTATTATAATTCTGTGTAATTCAGTTGTATTAATGTGACTTTTTACTGATGTTATTGTTAATTGTTAAAAATGTTATAATGATCTGCTGGCTGCAAATAAATTTTAACACCTGTCTCACAGAATCTGCTAAGTGCCTCCTCTTCTGATAAATAATGAGCTATGGACTTAAACCTAGCTATCAATACTGCTGATTTCCTGGTTAATTAAGCTTATGGGTCATTCTGAGCCTAAATCCTTTCTCAGTTGGAGCAGCACAACTACTCTGTCTGGTTTCCAGGATTTAGGCAAATCTCCTTTTTCTAGTATTTTATTAAATAACCCAAATCCATACTAGGTATTTTTCTCCTTTTTAACAAACATCTAGTATTTCTGGTTTGGGGTTCAGATGACACACTAAGTCAAACCACAGCTTAGTCAACAGCAATGCAGCAGTGGCAAGGACCGGAGAATGAATAAAGAGGCCGTGAACCCGTGCATTTGTGTTAATCCATGGTTTGCCTTAGTGTTATGGGTGAGCAAGCTCTACGTCATAACATACCGTATTTTTCTCTCTATAAGACCATAAGACGCACCTAGTTTTTGGAGAAGGAAAACAAGAAAAAAATATTCTGAATCTCAGAAGCCAGAACAGCAAGAGGGATCGCTGCGCAGTGAAAACAGCAATCCCTCTTGCTGTTCTGACTTCTGGGATAGCCGCGCAGCCTGCATTCGCTCCATAAGACGCACACACATTTCCCCTTACTTTTTAGGAGGGAAAAAGTGAGTCTTATAGAGCAAAAATATGGTAATTTCCTGGGAATTCTGATTTAGGAATGACACTGGGCTGCCACTGCTTGAAATGGTGGCAAGGCTTTTTATTGTTAGTGGAAGGAAGAAAAGCCTATTGGCAAAACCTATTGGGTGTTTCACAACTTTCTGACTAGTTGCAGGACCTTAGCCAGACCTAGCAGAGTACACGCAGAATCCACAGAAGCAATTGGCAACTTGGCTGCAGACAGGATAGATGAAGCAGGAACCAGGAACTTATAGTTAGGTGTTGATTATATACAGTGGACTATTTATAGGAACAGAACACAGATCTTTTGCTAGCTCTCTCATACATGACTCACAACTCCTACACTCACTGACACACTGAACCACTGAACCTCTGAACACTGAACACATCCCAGTTAGTAGGCCATTTATCACTTCCTTGAGAGAGCTTGACCAATCAGGGAGCTGTCTCCATGCCTCTGTTATCACCAGGCAGACTTACTCCTTCAGATTGCCTTCTGGCTGTCTGCCAAACTTTAATTGACTCTGTGTGAGTAGCTGCACATACACAGATTCCCAACAAAGCCTTGGTCACCTTGATTTTAAAGATAAGATCCCCCCTCCCCTGCAAAATTAGAACCACCCACTCTATAAAAATTAATACAATCTTGGGAGAGGGGCATCCCCCCTGTAAAACTTACAAAAATATGTGGGCTGAACACTTTGCCCAGGTACTAACATCAATCACTTTCATAAATGTTTTCTAGGTAAAAAGATCTCGTCAAACAAAAGGTGTTTATCCATTTTAGTGTATCATTTTATTTGGTCCCTTCCTTGTTTATTTGGTTCCTTCCTTGTTTTAATAGACAAAGCCATTTTTTAAATTAAAAAAAGAATGCAGTAAGAGCTAAGAAAAGCAGTGGCAGAAGTGCACCTTAAAAGCAGAGGTAGCCAATGAGATACCCTCAAGAGGTTGCACTACAACTCCTATCATCCTTGACCATTCACCGTGGTGGCTAGGGCTGATGGGAGTTGTAGTCCAGCAACAACTGGAGGGCACGACATTGGCTACCCCTGCCTTAGAGCTTTCTGCTTGGGATGGTGGTCTACTGTATCTTTTTTTAGATGAACATTCTCTTACCATTTGTCTGGTTTGTCCGTGGTTGGGCAGACCTAACAAACAGGAAAGAGAATAGAGCTCGTAAGACACCATTGCTTTTCCAAAGAGAAAAATCAAAAGAAAGAAAGCACAAAAAGAAAAACAGCATGGCTGATGTTTGAAAATGACTCACTTTCCAAAACAGGAAACGCTTTCACATTTGCTTTCTTTGGTAAATATATGAGATTAGCTCCTTAAGTGATCTAAAAATAATTGCAAAAATATTTAAATATACTGTCCATCGTTATTAACGGCAATGAAAGCAGCAGGAGAAAGTGTGCAGTAGTTATAGGAAAGCAGTTGTTGGCTTCCTTACTTGCCGGCCGGCCAACCAACCAGCCTGCCTACCATTAGTTATCTGACACGCTGAGGTTTGACTCAGCTCAGCTTAACAGAGACTCACATTTTCCTCTGGGAAACATTGGGAAAATCCTGCTATTTGCAAGGCAGCCTGAGAAGAAGGCAGGCATTGAGCCATTCTCTCTGAGGCATTGTTAAATGAGGGATCTGAATTAATAATCCAACTCCTGCCCTCTTAAAAATAGTTTTCTCTCTCTTGGTTGGACATAAAATCAGTTTTATATGTGGTTTATCAGTGAAGAATTATCCTATTTCTTAAAAAAAAAAGTCTGAGGAGTGGAGCAGAAATCTTTACTGTGTTTCAGTCTGTGTCTGGGACATAAGGAAGGTGTTTAGTACCAGAACTGAGTTCACATTCCTTTCACACAACAATCCATTCCTGGTTTCACTGGGAGCCTTTCTGTTTTTGCTATTGTCAAAGAATTGGGAGCCTTGCCAATTTACTGCAAGTCACATAGCAACCTACCAACTGATTCAGATATATGCCCGTCCCACCTCTGAATCAGATCTATTTAGTCCAGCATCCTTTTTCTAACAGTGTCTTGTGAGATGCCTCTGGGGGCCCATGAAGTAGCAGTTCTCCACAGATACAGTTATGTATGTATATAGGTAGGTACGTATTTGTTTATTAGATTTATATACAGCCCTTTATGAACAGCCCTCAGGGTGGTTCACAAAATAAAAGCACAACATAAATAGTTAAAACAAAACAAAAACTCCCCCTCCCATAAACACATTTTAAAGGCTGTAGATTATTAATCCAGCCAAAGGCCTGGTTGAAGAGGAATGGTTTTGCCTGGTACCTAAAGATATATAACGAGTGTGCCAGATGAACCTCCCTGAGGAGAGCTTTCCACAAACAAGGAGCCACTGCAGAAAAGACCCCGTTCTTGTGTTGCCACCCTCCAGACCTCATGTGGAGGAGGCACACGAAGAAGGGCCTCAGAGGAGGATCTCAGGGTCTAGGTCAGTTCATATGGGAATAGGCGGTCCTTGAGGTATAGTGGTCCTGAACTGTTTAAGGCTATATAGGTCAAAACCAGCCCGGAAACTAATTGGTAGCCAGTGCAGTCGGGCTAGGATTGGGGGTTGTATGTTGAAACCGTCTTGCCCTGGTGAGCAACCTGGCTGCCAAGTTCTGCACCAGCTGAAGTTCCTGAACCACCTTCAGAGGCAGCCCTATATGTCACACCTTGCAGTAATCCAACCTAGAGGTTACAGTACCAGAGCATAGACAACCGATCTTAGGCTGTCCCTGTCCAGACAGGGGTGCAGCCGGGCTACCAGCCAAAGCTGATGGAAGGCATGCAACACCACTGAGGACCCCCAAGCCACATACAGAGGGAAACCCCATCAAGAGCAGGCAATCTCCCAGCCATCTGGTCTAGGGAACCACCCGCAGTGCCTTTGTGTTATCCGGATTGAGTTTCTTTGGCTCTCATCCAGTCCATTACTGAGTCAAGAAAACTCCACTGCCATACCAAACTCCAAAACTCCAGATAACCCCTTTCAGCAGTTTCATGTAGATGTTAAACAGCATGGGGGGTAAAATTGAGCCCTGAGGACCTCCACCTTGAAGGCTCCATGGGGCTGAAGAGCACTCCCCAAGCATCACCCTCTGGGAACGACCATGCAAGTAGGACCAGAACCACTGGAAACCACTACCCCCAACTCAGACAGCCGCTCCAGAAGGAAACAATGGCTGATGGTATCAAAAGCCAACTGAGAGGTCAAGGAGAATTAACAAGGTGCCGGAGCCAATGCAGCTTGTTCCTCCATTTCAACCTCCCAATATTGGGATGTTTGGCTGGTGATACAGCCCCATTCTGGACAGGAGGAGTTCATCAGATCCTTAGCATCTCACACAAGGATATCTCCAGCAGCAAGAACAGATCCAGAGAATTACATCTCTGCATCAGGCACCAAAGAAGACCACAGGCTGCCTCTCATCCAACGGTTGTTTGACCAGTTACATCCTGCCGCCATATACACTGATTCAGATCACAGGAGCATGACGATGAATGAAAAATGGCCTTCCAAACCTGCTACGGCCACTTCAAATGCACGCTCAGGCTGCTAGGCCTCCGTAACTCCTCTTAAGTGTTCCAGCAGTTCACATTTACAACCTGGACAACATTCTGATAAACCCACACATGCTACAGCTCCATGCTAAGCAAGTTGTCCTCTAGTGGCTAGATCAACGTGGACTGAACAGAGTTCCTTGGGCAGATTTTGACATCTCTTGGTGTGCTGATGGATTGCTCCAAAAACGGAGCGGCATTTCAGAGTGTACAGAACAATCCATCAACAACAACAATTCAGGGACTTCTGGTGGCCCCAGGAGAGAGAGGTACAATGTATGAGACCCAAGCATGTGCAAAGGCATTGCCCATTGCTCAAACGGTTGAATGCAGGCGAAGCCAGAATGCTGATCAAAACCTAAACTGCCTGGAACCAGACTATCTTAGAACTGCCTCGCCCCTTATGAATCTCCCGGGGAACTTTGCTTTTCACCTGAGACTCTTCTCCCTACCCCAAACCTGCCAGTGCATGTGGAGCTCAAATTTCTTCCCCGGGCTGAACGTATCTAAGTCTCTTCAAGAGGCAGCCTTTGTCTTGACTGTGGAAGTAAAATCTGTCTTCGGAACTGAAGCAGCACTTCTGGTTGGGAGGGGAAGGGAAAGAGGCTCAGCCGTGATAGATCCTGGCCCCGCTCAGCTGCAGCCTCCTCCTCCCTTGTAACAGTACCTTCCACCTTGCTTAAGCTCCAGTATCGGCTGCAGCCTCAGTGAGCCTGTGCCATCTTGCCCCTTCTCCCAATTATCTCACCACAGCTCAGGCACGGGACACAGGATGGCCACTGCAGTGCTGGTGCGCCTGTGCGTGGCAGCAGCAGAGGCCACAGACCCAGCCTTCAAGAAGAGCATCACAGCTGCCTCTGCCACAGCAGTGGTGAAAGGCGATGCGTTCCCTTGGGGGGGCCATCCGTGTAGATCCTGCTGCCCAGATGGGATGGGATGACCCCAAATTATGTTCCAGAACATCTTGTACTGCCCTCGCCTCCTCTTCCAGCTGCTAAACTTCCATCAACTTTAAACTTTTTTCCCGCTGCTTCCTGTTTTCCTTTATGCTCTGCTGCCAAGGAGGGAGTGTACATTTTCAGCTGGTGCTCCCTTCCTCTCCCTTACAGGCTAGTCCTAAATTATGCTACTGGGCAACCCCCAATTTCTGATATAAACAGTTGGACTAAAAGGGGCTTAGTTTTGCCAGTAACTCAGTTACTGGGCTTCCCACAACTGATACTGTAAACCGCCCTATGATCCTCAGATGATGGGCAGTTTAGAAATTAATGAAATTAATGAACCAAATAAATGAATATATTCAGCTGCCCGCAATGTTCCTTTGGTTATAGAAACAGGGAACTTTGTCAGGCCATTTTGGGTCTTTCTGTTTTTCACATACTGGTGGCAACGCTTAAGTATACAAAACTCCATTTTTTTCTGGAGGTAACCTCATTTCATGCCTAGCATATGCAGAAGGCATTAGACTACAAAATTTGAGGATAGAAGGAGTAAAATTAAATGAAGATGGCATCAGAAACTACCCTTTAGAAAGAGACTCAATTCAAAGTTTTGGTTTTAAAATTTAAAGCCCTAAACTTGGCATCTGGGTATCTTAAGGATCTCTCATTCAAATATTCTCCCCCGTAGGTCCATCCATGGCTGAGGAATCGATGGTGAGTAGCTACTAGGAGCTGGCTCCTTTTTTTTTAAGGCCCCCACAATGCAAAATGACCTCCCAAAGTCCATCAAGGATGGATCTATTACTGTAAAGAATATAGCTCGTCTAACTTCTCTGCTCCTAGTAGATGCCCACGGTATCTTCTTCGATCGTGGAACTTGTATCAAGGCCTTTAGATGTTAAAGAGACACCTGCTCAAAGAATTTAATTGATTGCTCTTCCAGTTTTATTATTTTAGCGCTATTCCTCTATACGACTGATACTTTGTGATAATGTGCACACGCATAAATTTCTAATTAATTCTTTTAAAACTAATGTTGAGTTGCATATCCCTCCCGCACAAAAGGTGGCTAAAGTTTAAAAAATGAGTTTATGCAATTCAAGATAAGACAAGAGGAGATTGAGAGGAGATGGGACAGTCATCTTCAAATATCTCAAGGGCTGTCACATAGAAGAAGAGGAGAAGAAGAGTTTGGATTTGATATCCCGCTTTATCACATTCTCCTTTCCCTTCCTGCCCCACAACAAACACTCTGTGAGGTGAGTGGGGCTGAGAGACTTCAAATAAGTGTGACTAGCCCAAGGTCACCCAGCAGCTGCATGTGGAGGAGCAGAGAATCGAACCCGGTTCACCAGATTACGAGTCTACCGCTCTTAACCACTACACCACGCTGGCTCTCATAGAAGAGCAAACTTGTTTTCTCCTGCTCTGGAGGGTAGGACCTGAACCAGTGGATTCAGGTTAAAAGAAAGGAGATTCCAACTAAACACCAGGAAGAATTTTCTGATGGTCAGAGCTGTTCAACAGTGGAACGGACTTCCCTTGGAAGGTGGTGGGCTCTCCTTCCTCAGAGGTTTTCAAGCAGAGGTTGGATGCTTTAGCGGAGATTCCTGCATTGCAGTGGGTTGAACTAGATGACCCCTGGGGTCCCTTCCAGCTCTCCAATTCTATGATTCTATGAGACCTTGTTCATCTCATTTAGTCAGTGAAACAGAATCAAGGAATGGATGAGGTAATCATGATGAGTGTATTCTATTCCAACCTAAAGTGAGAAGCAATCCCTTTCCTAGTCAGTGCATTTCTCGGCCTTATGGGGCTACTGCATCATTGGGTTGCAATTATGCCATACGCTGCCTATTGGCAAAAACAATTACGCTTCGTACTGCTTGTTCTTGAGCCTTTACTACCACAACACACTCTTGATAGAAAGAAATGAAGACTTCTTCTGAAGTGTCATACCAAGATGAGTCACCAAGGAATGACAGCTTAGTTGCTGATTAAAGCTGTTAATAATGGAAGCTAAATTAATGCTTACTATTCTTTTTGTAGGGACGCGGGTGGCGCTGTGGGTAAAAGCCTCAGCGCCTAGGGCTTGCCGATCGAAAGGTCGGCGGTTCGAATCCCCGCGGCAGGGTGCGCTCCCGTTGTTCGGTCCCAGCGCCTGCCAACCTAGCAGTTCGAAAGCACTCCCGGGTGCAAGTAGATAAATAGGTACCGCTTACTAGCGGGAAGGTAAACAGCGTTTCCGTGTGCAGCTCTGGCTCGCCAGAGCAGCGATTCACGCTGGCCACGTGACCCGGAGGTGTCTCCGGACAGCACTGGCCCCCAGCCTCTTGAGTGAGATGGGCGCACAACCCTAGAGTCTGTCAAGACTGGCCCATACGGGCAGGGGTACCTTTACCTTTACTTATTCTTTTTGTACATTTTTTCTACACCTATATGCACATATTCCTGCCAGCTGAGGATGAATCTTCATGCATCAGGCGAAGTACACTGGAATCCATGGCTGCTTGTGCTATAATAGGTTTGCCAAACCATCCTGCAACAGACAAGTGTGACTATCCTCTTGCAAGACTCTTTATTTTGAAATGTACATCTCACCCTTTTGGTCAGAACAGTCACCCAAGGCAGAATTCCACCTATACAGGTTTTCTTCTGGACAAAATTCAAGTTGCTGCTCTTCACCTATAAAGTCTTAAATAATTTTGGCCTTGCACACCTCAGAAAATATCACTGCTGCCTGAAGCTACCACTTCTACCAAAAACTACAGCAGGTGTGATGAACGACCAGTCTTGTGTGCCAGATACAGCCCAAAGCCTCCTTATCTTGGCACCACAGTCAGGCTTTTAAAAACCTACCATGGAAGCTTAAGTGAGAGGTGGCACTGGGAAAGGTGCAGCTGGGTAAGGAAGGGTTAAACTTTATCTCTGCATCTGCATCTGCAACCGCCCTCTCCACCCTGCTCCACATTTAGACCCCACTGCTCCATATTTAGGGTTGGGGGGGGGACTCCTCTTGGCTTCAGTAGGAGGGTTTTAAAAAAATCTGTAGTAGGAGCAGGGAAGAAGATGCAGCCCTGTATTAACTGTGCATGTCTGTGCATATGTTAAGACTGTATATGCGTGTACATATTTGGTTGTGTGTTAACAGCATGCAATAATGCCCGTGTCTGGCCCTGTCCACTTTGGATCCAGGTCAGGCCCCCAACAGCTTTCAACTGGGGCAATGTGGCCCTCAGTCGAAAAAACAGTTTCCCACCCCTGTGCAAAAGGTTGTGTACAACGAAGGTTTTGGTGGCTGCTCTCTAATCATGAAAAACCCTTCCTCCAGAGACCTTCCAAAACTCAAACATACGTCAGAAGGGTTGCTAAATCGGGATATTTTTATCAGCTGCAGTTAAACTGATAATGGTGTGTTAATATTGCATGGGAAATTATGAAGGGAGGCGATGTATTTAGAAATCACAAAAACAACATGTACACACAATACGAAATGGGTGGACACAAGCACAAAGAAGCAAACTTGAAAAGTCAGCGGATGAATCGAGAAAAGGTTACACTGTCCAAGCACAAGCCGAGAACAACTCCGTAATCTTACCCTTGCTTGGCATCAAAAGGCGCTTCTTCACGGGGCCTGGTAGAACACAGTGAACATAAAGATCAACAATCAGATTTGCATTATTTCAAAAGCTTAACTTAAACAAATGACATGTTATCTGTGCAGGTGTTTGTTTGCTTGGTCAAAAAATTTAACAGGATAGCACATCTAGGATAGCAGAAGCTATGGTTGTATGGTTGGGGGGGGGGAAACGTTCAACAACTTCCATATTCTTAAAGGTAAAGGTAAAGGACCCCTGACAGTTAAGTCCAGTCGTGAACGACTCTGGATTTGTGGCGCTCATCACTTTACTGGCCGAGGGAGCAGATGTTTCTCTGCAGATAGTTCTCAGCCGCTTCTGGCAAAACCAGAGCAGCACACAGAAACACCGTTTACCTTCCTGCCACTGCGGTACCTATTTATCTCCTTGCACTCTGACGTGCTTTCAAACTGCTAGGTGGACAGGAGCTGGGACCGAGCAACGAGAGCTCACCCCATCTGTCAGGGATGCTTCAGTTGAGATTCCTGCCTTGCAGGGCGTTGGACTAGATGGCCCTCGGGGGGTCCCTTCCAACTCTATAATTCCATGAAAAGAATTCAGCTGAATTTTGCTTCGCTATGCATAACAACTGACTTAATCGTTTTAGCACCTTAAATTGGATGGCTTACTTTTCCAGCAAAGCTTTTTAGCAGAGCTTTTATCCTATTCTGTATTGGACTTGGTTTAATATAGGTTTCGGTTGCTAAATAGTTTTGGGATGTTTTAGCAATCAGTTTTATCAAGTGATTCATCAATCAATCAATGTAACAAACTTACACATTAAAATTGCTTTCCGTGGCATCTCTCCCCCTGCTGCACGTCAGGGCAGAGTCCACTACAGAAGTTCTCTTAGAACTATTGCAGATTACTTTAAAGCATTCGCAATGTTCAACACTAGTCAAACCCACAAAATTGTGCTGCGTATTACATACCTGAGTATGTGTGGCCCCCTTTGGGGGTCTGGCCAAGCAATCCTGGCCACTCAAGTCTGTTTGGCCAGAGCATTCTCATGCAACTGCTCTGTAACACCTGCAAGCAGATCATGCTAAAAGCCGCCGCCAGCAAATAAAGGGAGGCAAATTTATGTTTGTGTAAAGCAGTCAGTTTTCCATGTTTTGAGGGACATTGTTCTAGACATAAGTTTCCTCCCACCTTCATATTTTGGTTAAGGCAAATTGTATATAGTTAAAAGGAACACATTTTTTTCCAGCAGAGAAAAGGATTCTCAACTACAGTGGTACCTCGCAAGACGAATGCCTCGCAAGACAAAAAACTCGCTAGACAAAAGGGTTTTTTGTTTTTTGAGCTGCTTCGCAAGACGATTTTCCCTATGGGCTTGCTTTGCAAGACGGAAACGTCTTGCAAGTTTGTTTCCTTTTTCTTAACACCGTTAATACAGTTGTGACTTGACTTCAAGGAGCAACTCATAGAACGCGGTGTGGTAGCCTTTTTTGAGGTTTTTAAAGACTTTGGTGATTTTTGAAGCTTTTCTGAAACTTTCCCGACACCGTGCTTCGCAAGACGAAAAAATCGCAAGACGACAAAACTCGCAGAACAAATTAATTTCGTCTTGCGAGGCACCACTATACTATCAGAACAATGAAGTCTAAGTGTGCTGGGTGCTCTCTTTTTCCACACTACTAACTTGTTTCTTCTCCGATGAATTAAACAATCCTAGGCTAGATTTTAAAGATCAGAAGCCATGATATTTAAGGGTGGATAAAACACAGGAGTTGCCCTATGGTTATTTCTATATATTCAAATAATGGAAAGCTCTGAAGCACTATCTGGCAATGGCAATTGGGAAGAACACATTTTTCAAACAGAAAGTACGGTAAGTATTAAACAGTTCTGACAAAAGCAATATTAGCAACACTGAAAATGAAAAGCCACCAAGACAATTAGTCCTGCAGACTTAAAAATTAACCTGCAAACACTGGCAACACGTTAGCACCAGAAAATACTTACCATCCATCCCATTTTGTTGTTCGTAGTTTCTTTTCCCCAATATTGTTGGAGATCCATTGTTAATCACTGGCGTAAACTTAGCACAAGGCACACTGTTGAGGGAGCCAGACAAACTCTTAGCAGGATCAGGTTTCAGAGAGCAGGGATGAGATTCTGTATGATGAGAACAGCATATTAGGAGCATATTACAAAGGACAGTGGCAGACTCCTTTGTTTAAACCCAACTCTGACCCAGTCATGAATAAAGCAGGAAGAAGAGGGGTGCCACATTTTAAAAAAGAACAAAATATGTATGCAGGTGAGAGAGGTTGAATCAGGATTCAGACCCTACAGTTGCCTTAGAAGCAGCGCATAGACCATTAGGCCAAGAAAGAGACATCCTCATGTGCAGATATTAAGGAGAGAAATAAAGCTTTTGAAAACAAGGGTGTCCTTCCAAGATCTGTGTTTCTTTGCCTGTGGTTCTCTCTCTCTCTCATTGTCACTCATATCCTTCTATTTGTATGATATTTCTATTCTGACATTCTGTTCCATCTAGCACAGGCAAGAAAAAGCATCAACCCAGGGAAGATGCAAACAAGGGCTGCTGGCTTAGTGACTGGGATCAATAGTGGTAAGGTGCAATCTGTATATTATGGGCAACCCATGGCTTTCTCCCATACAAGCGAAATGTCGTTTATTCCTATGGAGAAAATTAAAAGTTAGGGCCAATGTTGTGGTGTGGGCAGAATTAGCTGGTGAAACAGAGTTGGTAGCATGGGAAGGGCACTGGGTTAACCCTCTTCTGCTTGTCAAATATGACACTTTTTGCTAGTGAATAATATTATACTTGAAGTCACCAAAATGCATGTATAGGAGTCAGCAGTCTATTTACCTAGATACCGAAGTACTGCTTCTAAAGGTTTTCTGACAACATGTTTTAATAGCAACAAATCTTCTGAAGCTTCTGGTAAACGAGATGCACCTGAAGACAATATTGGAACAAATAAGACTTCATTTACATGCTAACAAAAAAACCCTAACAAACAGCCTTTTTGATAACAAAGCCAGAGTTTTCTGAAGCATTTCAACGTAAAAGAAATGCACAAAAAGTAATATTTAATACAAATTAGGCCTGAATCACAATGTTGGGAGTATATTCCCAGCCCTTAACAAAAGTACTCTTGCCCAGCTTGCAATGTACTTTTACAGGCTTGGTGAGGACAAACTGAGGAGTTTTCTTCACCTACCCCCCAGATCGTTCACTACTGTGCTACAGGGCTGACAGCGCCAATTGTGAGCATGTTGTAGCATTATAACGGCTTGACAAGCTATTTTACTCTCTTCCCCCATTTTTCTTCCTTCTGCTACCCCAGTTGCTCTCAACCACAGAGAGGTCGAGAGAGTCAGAGAGTTTGCCTGATTTCTTTAGATCCCATTTCCCTCAACACAACTCAACACGACTCAACTCCTACCACAATTCTGATAGCATAAACTCTTGTTAGGCATGTAAGCTGACATCATGCAATTAGGACGAGAAAGACTCACATTCAGCTTTGATTGCTCCACTGTTGATAGGCAAATGAGGGTGCCGTGCCGCGTGCCACGGACGCAAGATGTCCCTGCATAATCGTCTGGCGAGTCTGGTCAGCTTTGTAGTATGGAGATAGAAAGCTTGTCGCGTTTTCATGGCAAACTTGGGGCTCCCATTGTTCCTCAAGGGTCCACTGTGAGGACTCTGGGAAAAGGAAAATTTGTGAGGAGGAGCCTTGGTCCACCTTGGACCTTGCCTTATCTTTTTGTTCTTGGCCTAAGGAACCACAGTGGTGAACTGCGGATTGATTTACTAACTGAATATGGTGAATGTGCCTACCAAATTGTTTCGATTTGGCCCTGGCCGTTCTCCATCTAGCCGTGTAGGCATTTTCAAGCCTCCATATTTCTTCCAGTATGTCCAGCAAGATGCACACAGACGACACTGCATGTTAGGAGGACCCCAAGAATACCACTGGTGAGACTGCGTCACTGGGAACAGCAAAAGCAGATATCAATTAGGACTCCTTTGCATGCCGTTATCTGTTGAGACTCTGCAAAAGATAAACAACCTAGCTTTCCAATATATGACAGCAGCTTGCTTTTACCGTATATGGCAAGAAAGGCTTACTTTTGTGTTATAATAGGAAAAGTATTTTGCCATGTTCAGAAACATACTAATATCTTAATTTTAATAGCACATTTAGAAAATGATATGTTTAAGCTTGTTCTGGAAATGGGGATCAGTTTCTGCAAGTGTTTTTGTGCCATCTGCATCTTTCCCAGGTTGACTAGCAATACTCCCCGCCCCCCGCCCCCCCCCATACCTACAGGACAAACTGCATTGGTCTTTAGAAGGCTCTTTCCAGCTCCGAGGGCCTTCTGGTGGTTCCCTCATTGCGAGAAGTGAGGTTACAGGGAACCAGGCAGAGGGCCTTCTCGGTAGTGGCGCCCACCCTGTGGAATGCCTTCCCATCAGACGTCAAGGAAATAAGCAGCTATCCTATTCTCAAAAGACATCTGAAGGCAGCCCTGTTTAGGGAAGTTTTTAATATTTAATGCTGTATTGTGTTTTTAACACTCGACTGGGAGCCGCCCAGAGTGGCTGGGGAAACTCAGCCAGATGGGCGGGGTAGAAATAATTTACTATTATTATTATTATTATTATTATTATTCCCACAGCTACATGGAAAGCTGGGCAGACTTTGTGGCACTGTGTTGCGTAGATGCAGCAGTCTAGCAAATAAATTTATAGCTCAATCTTCTATGAAAACTAGCAGAACCAGTCAAGACCAGTAACCACACAGCTTCATTATGTGAAACAAAGAACAAAGTTTTCTGCAGTGCTTCCTTTTTAATAACAAAAAAAGGATTACTGACTTTCAAAACAAGAAGTGAGAAAGTGCAGCCTCCATAGTACTGCCCTATTTTTAGCATAATACTCTGGAAGATTACCTTCTTCGCTCTACTCCCCTTGTGTGTTTACTCAGCAAACTGGTATATAAAGAGATTAGAAGCTATTTCACAGTACCACTGTGGCGAGATAAGTACAGAAGGCGAGCAACCATCCCGTTAATAATTATTTGCAAGATAATTGAACCAATTTTAAAATTTGAAGGCAATGTTCACTGTGGAGTCGTGGCACCACCGTCTGGAAGGTCTGTGCTGGGATAAATCAATATTACTTCTAAAGGCGCATCTATCATCTCAGATAATTATCAATGAAGCAAATAATTCAGCAGTGACACAATGGGTGTGGTTTTGGCTGTGAGTTTTTTTAACCTGGACTATGGCAAGAGTGAGCACTTGAGAGCATTAAGAGGTGGGATACTTTTCCTTTCTTTTTAAAAACCACCTGTCAGGGAACTGCCATCGGAGCTAGAGGCGGAGGGAAGGCTCCAGAGGGATGCCAGAGAGGGTCCCAGTAGGGAGAAAGGCAGCCCATCTGCTGGGGAAGGAAATCAGCGTAACACCAGTGGAGAAGGGGGGCAGATGGGGGAATCGGAGAGGAGGCTCCAGGACTCCTCGCCGGAGACCAGCGGAGAGAGTACGGGTACTCCGCTGTCCACACCCTCCCTGCGCAGGAGACTTCCGCGCAGGGAGAGTAGGAGGAGACTTGGCGTCAAGCAGCTTTTATGCTGGGAAAGGTTCAAGAAACGCCCACTGACGGATTCTGCCAGCGACTGAGACAGCCACGAAACTTGAGGCTGTCCAGACAGAAAGGGTTCAACCAGGTAACCTAGCCAGGAGTGGCGGCAACTTACGCACGAGCAACCCCTAGAACCATTACACCACCCCATAGTATAAAATGGTACAATGGGCTGGGAAATCTTTCCATGTCTAGCCTGGGCAGTGGAGTAAGGAACCTTGACCTGAGAATCTTATGTGCAGAGGTCAAGAGACTGCTATAGTTCCTCAGCAAAAGGGAGTGTGAAAGGGAAGCAGAAGGATGCTTTAAGAAACAAAAGCAGGAGCGTTGTCCTTGTTTGTCAAGTTAAACATTGCTTGAACTCCACCCCAACCCAATTTTGACCAAGCGATACTGATTTAGATTATGCATTTCCCTGTGGGCACTTTGTGATCCACTCTAGGTTAAAAAATACATATAAAGGAAACTAAACAAGTTAAGAAATTATGCCAAAGCTTTGCTCCTAGGTAAAACCTCCTTTTCATTCAGTATCCTCTAATTATCAATAGCAAGGTAGTATTCTGTGATAAAAGGGACACGGGTGGCGCTGTGGGTTAAACCACAGAGCCTAGGACTTGCCGATCAGAAGGTCGGCGGTTCGAATCCCCGCAACGGGGTGAGCTCCTGTTGTTCGGTCCCTGCTCCTGCCAACCTAGCAGTTCAAAAGCACGTCAAAGTGCAAGTAGATAAATAGGTACCACTCCGGCGGGAAGGTAAATGGAGTTTCCATGCGCTGCTCTGGTTTGCCAGAAGTGGCTTAGTCATGCTGGCCACATGACACGGAAGCTGTACGCCGGCTCCCTCGGCCAATAAAGCGAGATGGCAACTCCCCTGTCCTTAAGTCTCCTCCATTACTGCACCAAATGATGCTAGGGGACATGGTGACAGGACCAGTCCCATATCATACAACCACTTCCTGTCCTAGTGGTGCTTCTCCTAGCAACTTGGCACAGTCAACAAGCCAGGCTTCTCCAGGAAGCAAGACAAGAGGGGAGGTGGTAAGTGTTTGGCCCTGAGTCACAGATTAAAAATACAGTCGTACCTTGGATCCTGAACACCTTGGTATTCGGACTTGTTGACTCCCAAACGCCATAAACCTGGAAGTGAGTGTTCCAGTTTGTGAACTTTCTCTGGAACCCGAACGTCCGACGGGGCTTCTGCGGCTTCCAATTGGCTGCAGGAGCTTCCTGCAGCCAATCAGAAGCCGCACTTTGGAAGTTGAACGGATTTCTGGAACCGATTCCCGTTCGACTTCCAAGGTACGACTGTATGTGTCTACTCTAAAAAGATTTGGAAGACTGGAAAAAAATTTGGGGGGAAATATAAACTTTACAGCCTGCAATTTATTGAGGGAGAGTTACATGAAGATCCACCACAGATGGTATTTGGCTCCAGATAGATTATCAAAAATGAATAGAACGAACAGTAACAAATGTTGGAGATGCAACAGGATGAAGGGTACCCTATACCATATGTGGTGGACATGTCCAGAGATTAAAACTTTCTGGGATATGATTCATGAAGAGATTAAAAAATTGATAAAGGTTTCACACAGCAAAAGGGCAGAAGCTTACCTATTAGGAATCTTGAGTAAAGATATTCCTAAAGACAAAATCAATATATTTGTATACGCAACAGCAGCAGCGAGAATACTGATAGCCAGCCACTGGAAAGGAAATAATATCCCAACAAAAAGAGAATGGTTAAGTAAACTATGTGAGTACCTGGAGTTAGCTAAATTGACGGACTTAATAAGGCAAAAACCAAAAACTATGGTACAGAAACAGTGGGATTGTTTAAATGACTATTTACATAAACAGGGCTCAATCACAAAAATTTGGTTGTGTTTAGATTAAACTTGTGAAGACTATAAAGAATACAAAGATTTAATGGATTAGGGAAGAACCTAAGGGAAGGAAGTGAAGAACAGAGGTAAAGGTGAATTAGATAATAAAAGACGTGTGGTGCATGCGGTGGAAGTCTTTTAAAATATTTTAACTAAGATTTGTATTTTGTAATGTGTGTAAGCACAAATTTGGTATTATTGTTTATGGAAAGTATTTTCTTTTTTTCTGTCTTTTTTCTTTCTTTTCTCTTCTTTCTTTATCTTTTTCTATAATCTTTGTTTGGCAAATATGTAAATAATTATGTCTATATGGATATGTTTGAAATTTGTTTTGATATTCTTGTATTATTCAATAAAATTTATTAAAAATTAAAATCTATTAAAAAGAAAAGGGCACATAAGACTGGACTTGCATCCCCTCAAGGGCTTCTTTTTCTTGCACACAGGGCTATATTCACAAATCACTTACCATAGCAGCTTTCGCAGGCTCGTCCTGTTCCCGTGTTCTGTGCCTGAACTCCTGTACCATTTACCACTCCCGGCTTGATATTATTGACATTGATCTGGTTGGGGTTTGGCTTGTTACTTAAAGAAATGAAAAACAGGAAATGGGTGGTTAGTTTATGGGAAGAAATGCCATCAGCACCACCAGACGCCTTCACTGCAACAAAACATGTCTTTCCTGTTATCGGCCACAGCAGGTGCTCCAATGGGTTGACTTCACCCCGAAGGCACACACTTCCACCGTCTCCTGAGACAGACGGATGCCAACAACCAAGGGAACATGCAACCTTCTGATACTTCAGACATGGTAAATAAATATTGAGTATCTCCCATTTCTGATTCAGTAGTTCTAACATAAAATAGTTTCACAAACTTAGAGAGGAATGTAGTGTAGCCAGTCCCCCTCCTCAAATGGAACTGTAAATCCCCCAGTCAAATCTCTTAGTGCTAAACGGTTCAAGAACTACATAATTGAGAAGTAACAGGTGACTAAAAGCTATACATGCAGTTAAAACTTGCAGAGGTTCCACAGGCATTATTGAATTTTCATCTACATCTCAGCAAAACAATGTATCACATTTGTTTGTTTATTTTTTATCAAACTTTATTTGTTCTTCACAAAATGCAAATATCCTCCCTTCCAGGAGTTCTACTATCAATTGTACTTTGGAAATGATTCTATTGGCTTTTCGTTATTTGTGCTTTTCTTAAAAAAAATTGTTTAATGTTTCCTATAATCTGGCTTGGAAAGATTTATGTTCTGAAGAGTGGGATATAAATAAATGCAATAAAGAAATAAATAGTAAACATTGCACCAATGCTACATTATAGCATATTAAATACATGATCCATTTTTCAAAGTGCAACAGAAGATCAACAATTTACAGAAAAACCAATAGCTATCTTCATTCCTGAATTTGAGTTTTAGTTTTGAAGCAATAATAACTGTCAGGGCTGGAGTCAGACGCACGTCAGTACAAAAGACATACGGCTCCGCTGTCGGTGAAGTTGACTCCTTATTCAACGAAATGGCATAAAACTCAGCAACGCTCCCCAGAAGGTCTTGCCCCTATGGAGCAGTTGCCAGGACTGAAGGTCCCTGCCTTCCACCCTTTCTAAGGCTTCTCCTCTCCCAGATGTTTCCCAAGCATTCTCAAGCTGTGTCTATGCACCTCTGGCCTCTGTTCTGCCCTCCTCCTCATTCTGTGTGTTCTTGGGATACCAAGGGGAAGGGGAGCTTGTCACAGCAGGAGGGGGAGACTCCATGGATTCTTCTGCAGCCTCTTGACTTCCCTCCTCTGCTTCAGCCTCAGAGTCTGAACTGCTGCTCCCTGTCTCTTCCTGCCCACTAAACCCTGTTGCTCCTTCAACGTCCAGCTCCTCCGCCCAAGTCTCTCCCTATGACCTCTCCTCAGTGTCCCACCACCAATTCCCTGGGCGCTGAGCCATCTTCAAAAAGGGGGGAAAGAAGAACCAGTGAGCTTGACATGAATACTTCTTCATGCAGCACCTAGTTAAACTGTGGAACTGACCACCAACTTGGATGGATAAGACAAATTCATGGAGGACAGCAATAGGCTTTTTAAAACAAGCTTTGTGTGTTTGGAAACCATCATTCTAGAGCCACTCCATTCTTTTCTAATGTATTCAATGTCTGAACCTGTAACAGCCCGAACGTGCCAGAATTTCCTGGATACCTTTTCCCCTTCCGAGTTATTTTCCTGCTTAGTTCTTCCTCTTTTCCCTTCCCAAGGGTCAAGAGCTTCTGGCTGGTGTTTGCCTTTGCAGCCCTGCGTGAGAGTAAGCGAGAGCGAGAGAAGAGCAGTCCTTCCTTATGCTCTTCTCTAATAGTATAAAAAAATAAGAAAATTGTCCAGTAGCACCTTAGAGACCAACTAAGTTTGTTCTGGGTATAAGCTTTCGTGTGCATGCATACTTCTTCAGATACACTTCTTCGGGTATCTGAAGAAGTGTGCATACCCAGAACAAACTTAGTTGGTCTCTAAGGCGCTACTGGACAATTTTCTTATTTTTTTATTTTATTTCAACTGCGTCAGACCAACACGGCTACCTACCTATCTGGCCCAATGGTTGCCATTGGTTTGATCTGAATTAATTTTATAATTAATGATTTTAGAGTGTTGTGTTGTGTTGTACTGTTTTATTGTTGTTAGCCGGCCTGAGCCCGGCTTTGGCTGGGGAGGGCGGGATATAAATAAAATTTATTATTATTATTATTACCTGAATCTCTAATAGAATGTTCATATTAATGGTTTAAAATGTGAAGCCACTGTCACAAACACAGCCCACCCCTGTACACATCTGGGAGGGGATGAAAACACCCTCACCCATGTACAGGAATGGATCAAAAATTTGTTTTCCTCTCTCTAACCATAGCTTCATTTTTTATTTAGTACAGAACAAATACAATGCCCTGTCTCACAAGAGATGATAGCCTGCATTTGTACAATCCATCTTGGGATCCCTAGAAGAATCAAAGCTGTTTTGGTTGAGGTTTTGAGACAAGTGTAGCTTTTTAGCAGAAACAAACATTACAAAATTTATGCTGCGGTCCTGTACACACATCCATGGGACTAAGATCCCTTGAAGAAAATCAGACTTGCTTCAGAGTAGGCATGCATTGGATTGCCCTGTTAGAGAATGTAACATCTATTTCATGGTTAAAAATTCGCATACAGTGGTGCCCCGCAAGACGAATGCCTCGCAAGACGGAAAACCCGCTAGACGAAAGGGTTTTCCTTTTTGGAGGTGCTTCGCAAAACGAATTTCCTATGGGCTTGCTTCGCAAGACGAAAATGTCTTGCGAGTTCCTGCGGGGTTTTTTTCCTCCCCCCCCCCCCTTTTCTAAGCTGCTAAGCCGCTTATCAGCTGATCCTAAGCCGCTAGGCCGCTTAACAGCTGATCCGCTAAGCCGCTTATCAGCTGATCCGCTAAGCCGCTAAGCCGCTTATCAGCTGATCCGCTAAGCCCGCTAAGCCGCTTATCAGCTGATCCGCTAAGCCGCTAAACCGCTTATCAGCTGATCCGCTAAGCCGCTAATACGCTAAGCCACTAATGGGCTTGCTTCGCAAGACGAAAAAACCGCAAGACGAAGAGACTCGCGGAACGGATTCTTTTCGTCTTACGAGGCACCACTGTACATAAGTTTGCAAGACAAGTAAGAATGGCTATAATATTTGCATTCCATCTGTAAATATATATAAGAACAGGCACTTACTAATTAGGAATATATACTTGCTTTAGCTTGCTTTCTGCTTCTGCAGCTTTCAACCTTTTCTGAATACAATACAAAAAAATAAAATTAGAACATAAAAGCAATCCATACAAATTATAACTAAATCTGATACATTTTCCTGTTCTCAACAAATACCTCTCTAGGTATACAAAAAGTCAATTCACCTTGAGGAAACAAGGGCTGCAGTTCATCCCTTTATGTTAGCATCATGGATTTATAAAGTAGTTTCTGAATATTACTGATCAGCAGGGCTGAAAATATTAATCAGTACATTAAAGAAATGAATTCATACCATAAGAAATTAAAGCAACAGATTTTAATCATGGCTAGAGCCCTGCAAAGAAACTGAACCAATTGCACACCACTTAGTTAAGGCAATAGATGTAAGAACACAGAAGGCAGAAGTTACAAGAATGGAGACTCTGACTAAATATCAGGAAGAACTTTCTGATATTAAGAGCTGCTTGACAGTGGAACTGTCTCCCTCTGGAGGTGGTGGACTCTCCTTCCTTGGAGGTTTTTCAGCAGAGGTTGGATGGCCATCTGTCAGGGATGCTTCAGTTCAGACCCCTGCATTGCTGGGGGTTGGACTAGATGACCCTTCAAACTCCACAATTCTATGATTTCATCCTCACAACAACAATGTGATGTAGGTTAGGCTAAGAGATGGTGACTGGCCCAGGGTCACCCAATGAGCTTCATGGCTGAGTGGGGATTCAAACCCTGGTCTCCCAGGTCCAAAACTCTAACCATTACACTACACTGTGCTTGGGGGTTCATGTGTAGATCAGGTATACCGTATTTTTCGCTCTATAAGACGCACCTAGTTTTTAGAGGAGGAAAACAAGAAAAAAAATATTCTGAATCAAATGTTGTTGAAGAGGCTTTGCGCGGCTATCCCTCTTGCTATTCTGGCTTCAGCGAAAACAATGCAGCCTGCATTCGCTCCATAAGACGCACACACATTTCCCCTTACTTTTTAGGAGGCGAAAAGTGCATATTGTAGAGCAAAAAATACGGTATATGCATGTTCCTAAAGACACATGTAACCATAAGACTTCAAATAATTTATCTGCTAAGACGGTGGGAAAATGTCGAATTCCATTGCGAAGTTTCAATAATAAGAAAATAGGTAAGAAACAGCTAATTAAAAACATACTGAACACAATAGTTTTTTGTTAGCCTCAGTGGCAAATGACCCTCCTATGCTTTTTCCAGAAGAGATCTCTGAGTTGGAGAGATCCACCCAAAGTCAATCCATACAATAATACCTTAATGAGACATCTGGCAGTCATGTTTACCCACTCAAAAAGGAGTTACAAGTTTCAAATCATTCATCAAATGTCAGCAAAACTGAGTATATAGGATTATAATGACTACTACAATAGATTGCAATTAGAAGTTAGAAGCATCTGTTTTGAGAAATGTAACTACATTGTTCTTACCTGTTGAACATATCGATCTGTTGTTTTCCACATATAGTAGTACTCAATTATGCTGGTTAAGGACTTCCATGGAAGCTAAGAACACGTATAAACAAAACCAAAAAAAGCCCATGAGGTGTCAAATCTACATCATCCTGGGAACAAAATACTTTAATAGCAAAAAGTCAGAACTCAGAAGTTCCCAAGCATATAGCTACCCAGCTGCCACAAAGCTAGATGCTGAAGAAGTGAGTTAACGCTTCTTTATCTAGCTTTGTACACCCCCCTTCACCTTCCCCATGCTGCCATTAGGCTTAAAAAAACCAGTAAAAGCTGTTTTTATCAACCTAGTTGCTGTGCAAGGATGTACTGCAGAGCCAAACTGGGGTGGTTTCAGTCCCAGTATGGAGGCCCTGTGGGCTGCATCTCACACAGTCGTATGATTTCCAACATGCCTCAGGCACAATGTTCCGGATGATGTTAGAAACAAGTACAATGTCTAATCTGTTCCAGCCTCCTAAGACTAAACCTTTAAAGCCTTGATCACCATTGGCTTTTCACAATGCATTTCCAGCTGGGGAAATGGTGTCAGAACTCGTAGAATCCTAAAATCTTAAGAGCTGGAAACGACCCCGAGGTTCATCTAGTCCAACCCTCTGCAATGAAGGAATCTCAACTAAAGCATCCCTGATAGATGGCCATCCAACCTCTGTTTAAAAACCTCCAAGGAAGGAGAGTCCACCATCTCCCTAGGAAGACCTTTCCACTGTTGGACACCAACTGAGAGCCAGTGTGGTGCAGTGGTTAAGAGCAGTGGACTCGTAATCTGGTGAACCGGGTCCGTGTCTCCGCTCCTCCACATGCAGCTGCTGAGTGACCTTGGGCCAGTCACACTTCTCTGAAGTCTCTCAGCCCCACTCACCTCACAGAGTGTTTGTTGTGGGGGAGGAAGGGAAAGGAGAATGTTAGCTGCTTTGAGACTCCTTCGGGTAGTGATAAAGCGGGATAAAGGTAAAGGCAAAGGTACCCCTGCCCGTACGGGCCAGTCTTGCCAGACTCTGGGGTTGTGCGCCCATCTCACTCAAGAGGCCAGGGGCCAGCGCTGTCCGGAGACACTTCCGGGTCACGTGGCCAGCGTGACATCGCTGCTCTGGCGAGCCAGCGCAGCACACATGGAAACGCCGTTTAACTTCCCGCTAGAAAGCGGTCCCTATTTATCTACTTGCACCCGGGGATGCTTTCGAACTGCTAGGTTGGCAGGCGCTGGGACTGAGCAACAGGAGCGCACCCCGCCGCGGGGATTCGAACCGCCCACCTTTCGATTGGCAAGCGGGATATCAAATCCAAATTCCTCTTCTTCTTCTTCTTCTTACTGTCAGAAAGTTTTTCCTGATGTTTAGTCCTTTCTTGTACCCTGAAGCCACTGGTTGGAGTCCTACCCTCCAGAGCAGGAGAAAACAAACTAGCTCCATCTTCCATGTGACAGCCCTTTAGATATTTGAGGAGGGCTCTCATACCTCCTCTCAGTCTCTGCTTTTCTAGGCGAAACATATCCAGCTCCTTCAACTGTTTCCAGACCCTTGATCATCTTGGCTGCCCTCCTCTGCACACCCTCCAGAAGATGGTGAGACAACCCTCTCCTTCTTTGGAGGTTTCTAAACAGAGGTTGAATAGCCATCTGTCATGGATGCTTTAGTTGAGATTCCTGCATTGCAGGGGGATTTTAGGATTCTATGAGTTAAATTGTGGTGCTCAGAATTGGACACAGGACTCCCAAGCGTGGTCTGACCAAGGCAGAATAGAGTGGTACTATTACTTCCCTTGATCTGGACACTAGACTTCTGTTGATGCAGCCTAGAATGGCATTAGCTTTCTTTGCTGCTGCATCACACTGTTGACTCATGCTAAGCTTGTGGTCCCTATATCCTTTTCATATGTACTACTGGTAAGCCAGGAGTCTTCCATCTTATATTTGTACAGCTGATTCTTCCTTCCTAAGTGCAGAAGCTTACATTTGTCCCTAGTGAAACTCATTCTGTTAGTTTGGGCCTAGTTCTCCAATCTGTTAAGGTTACTTTGAATTATGATTCTGTCTTCTGCGACATTAGCTACCCCTTCCAGTTTGGTGTCATCTGCAAATTGGATGAGCAGCCCCTCAAATCCTTCCTTCAAGTCATTTATAAAGACGTTGAACAACAATGAACCCAGGACAGAACCCTGCAGCACCCTACTTCTAACTTTTTTTCAGGATGAGGATGAACCATTAATGAGTAGTCTTTGGGTTAAGTTAGTCAACCAGCTACAAATCTACCTAACGGTTACATTGTCAAGCTCACATTTTACCAACTTCCTTGCAAGAATATCATGGGGGACGTTGTCAAAAGCCTTACTTAAATCAAGATGTGCTATGTCCACAGCATTCGCCTTATCCCCCAAGCATGTAGCTCAGTATCCCTAAACTATACCAGCAATTTGGAAATGTCATGGGACACATGGGGAAGAGAATTTGCCACTGCACAAATGGAAGATGTTCTGCTTACACATGTTTTTAGATGAATACTGCCCTAATTTCTTTAACTGGAGAATGCTGTCCACGATTTTCTAGATGTGCAATGCCGTTTGCCTACTTACAAAATCTTGCTGAATATCAGTAAAATCCTTTCCATATTTTTCAAGGGCTTCTTCAAAGAGATTTGCCTCAGAAGCAGACCATTCCTCCATTTCATCCCTGCACAAGACAGGCCCACCCTGGGGCACAAGGGCAGAAATTGCCTTGGAAATGTCATAGATGTTTTTGTGCAAAGTATCCATGGCATGGAACTACATAAAACAAACCAAATACAAAGTGTAAAAAAAGAAGTTCCCACTACATAAAAAAATGCACCACATTTCAAAATAAAAAGCTATGAATGAAACTAGGGGACTGATACATATCAGGGGGCTGTTTGATGTTTTATTATGTTTTTATATATGCTGTAAGCCACCCAGAGTACCTGGGAAAACCCAAAAGGATGGGCAGGGTAATGCTACTGGAAGGAATATATTATTATTATTATTATTATTATTATTATTATTATTATTATTATTATTATTATCCTCCTCCTCCTCCTCCTCTAATGCTGGCATGAGGAATATTTTTGGCTCCACAGGCCAAATCTTACCAGGCCAAATTTGACAGGTGGGTGGCGAAATCACCCAACGTCACAATGACATCTGGTCAGGACTCCAAAGTTGCTGCTAGAACAAAGCTCCCCCCCCCTTTGCTTTAACATGGGCAAGGTATTGCTTAAACTAAGGAAGAAACCTTCATTGGAGCAGTGGTTCAATGGTTTGCACTGAACTACCCAACTGGACAGGATTTAACCACCCGGTGAACACCAATGAGTAGGGGTTAAATTCTGTTGAACTGGTACAGGAAACCCCTTCCCAATTAATAAACTCCACATCAGTCTTACAAATCATTTAATTAAGCCTTGTAAATGATCACGAGCTTAAAATTTACCATGTACATGCTAGATTTTTTGTGTGTGTTATAGATTCACAGCTCCAGTTGGCTCCTAACTGAACTGTCTCTTAAGCACACAAACTACACCAATGTAAAATGCTTCAGGACTCTTCCAGTGTTTTCAGTCTGATATATTACTCTCTTTTTGCCATTATGCTATAGAGGTATTACTTTTAACCGAAAATCCAACATTAGGATTTATTTTCTTAAATTCTTACCAGTGTGATATCCCTAGATGCTGCTGCAGCACTCATGTGTAAGCTTGGCTGCCGAACAGAACTGCTGCAGTCTAGAGCGCGAGCAAATGTACCCACAGAGCTAAAAAAAAATGAAGAGAAGGTTGTCTTTCCGTGCAAGAAAACACACACAAAGCGAAGAAAGTAACAAGTTTACAGCAAGCACTTTCAAAAACAATTTGGTACGTATCATTTATTTGTACGAGGGAAAAAAGAATTTTTGCTACATTTTCATTGACCTCAATGATAATACACAGTTTCCCCAGACATAGTAGTGACCGTTGCTCACCCCCTCTCGATTTTGTCATCGCAGAAAACTGTCTAGCTTTATCAGGGGGGAATAGGTAGTGTGTGTACCGGAATCTAAGACAGATGTCACAAATACCATGTTTCAGCTCACTCCCTCATCAGGTTAGGAACTTATTCAGATGACAAAGTCAACATTGTAGGAACCAAGAAGAGAAATCGTGTCCATCATCACAGCTATACACAGATGGCTGCTGCAAATGTTTTTTTATTATTCATTTTTGCATACCCCAAAAGGATGGAAATTTGCTACATCAACTTTATTCTATTTGAGATTCCCTCAGAAGGAAAACATTTAAATGCAGGTTGTCAGTACGAAACTTGCCCTCACCACTCTTTAGCAAACGCCATGTGTCATGTAGCATCGCTGAGTCCAGTGAACCATGGGAGCTACGACTCAGAATCTACAACATGCATAATGGTGTCAGTGAAGTACGCTCACAGTCAACCACCAGCCTCAGCATACCTGCTGGAATTGTACTAATGAAAACCAGGATCTGTTTAACAAAGGACAGCTGCTGAAATCAACACTTCCTATAAATGTATTTTCCATAAACTTCCACGGTGTTTTAATCCTACAGTGCAACATTCCAAAACCCTCAATGGCCAGTGGTTTTGCTGCAATTGTTTTACGCACATTTAGAGATCACGAAGAAATTCATACAAGATACAAGTTGAAAGTGAAACCCTTTCTTCATAAAGCACAAGCATTATCAAGCAAAACAAATACCTCCAGCAGCTCGCTATAAAGGCAGTTAAAAGTGTCATTTGAATAGGAGTCATTTGAATCATTCAGTGCAATACCAGTTGACAGAGAAGAATGAGATCTAATAGCTGCTGAGGCACATTATCATCCTAAACAAGGTGGGAGGAAGAAGTAGAAGTTGTATGTTTTTATCTGCATGTGGAGACTGTGCAAGAAGACAGTCTTTTCTTAACATAATACTATAACATGAGCTAACGGTGCTATTTTACATTGAAAGTGTGTACAGTCTGAACAATGTACTTGAAAGATGAAGGTGTTAGACATCCCTTGAAAAGCAAAAGCTTCAGACTTGCTACACAGCAACCGCTGTTTAAGCACCAAATAAATGCAATTCTTCTGCTACTAATCTTCCAAACTGTGAGAAATAGGAAAGTTGTGCAAGCAGAACACCACCACTTGGATAGTCATATATAAGTCAGTGATTGCTGGTTGTGATATATTGATTAGACAAGATTCTATTCACTCTGGGAGAGCAGCCCACTTTGTTTCGGGTACATAAAGGTAAAGGTACCCCTGCCCGTAGGGGCCAGTCTTGACAGACTCTAGGGTTGTGCGCTCATCTCACTCTAGAGGCCGGGAGCCAGCGCTGTCCGCAGACACTTCCGGGTCACGTGGCCAGCGTGACAAAGCTGCATCTGGCGAGCCAGCGCAGCACACGGAACGCCATTTACTTTCCCGCCAGTAAGCGGTCCCTATTTATCTACTTGCACCCGGGAGTGCTTTCGAACTGCTAGGTTGGTAGGCGCTGGGACCAAGCAACAGGAGCGCACCCCGCCGCGGGGATTCGAACCGCCGACCTTTCGATCGGCAAGTCCTAGGCGCTGAGGCTTTAACCCACAGCGCCACCCGCATCCCACTTTCGGGTAGATACAAAAGCCCTATTTTGACATATTAGTTGTAAATCCTAATCAGCGTAATATTGTAGACTTGACGGCTGTGACAGCGGTTGCGATATTTCTCAATTCTATGCCCCTTTCAAACACCAAACCAGGGATCTTGCATTGCCGTTTCCTTATCAACTCCTGCTGGGGGAGAGACAGAGGTATGTTGATCATATATAGAGACTTTATTCCCTTTTTTGGTGCCACACTTCCTTACAGGCTTTTGACACTTCTAGAATTTTCATCCAGTGTATCGAATACATTCTAATACTTCCTCTTCCTTTGTGATATACTTGGTCCATTGAAATAGTAAGTTAATGTCTTTCTCCTCCCTCTGCTCCACTCTAGGTAGGGAAGTCTCATTCTCTTTAGCATGGCACTTTGCCAGCTCATTCACCTGTTTTAACGTGAGGTCATCTAATAGCTCCCTTCGCTCCACTGGTTGCATCCTACCAGTAGCTGGTGCATTTTCAGCCAAAGCCATCTCCATGGCCAGATTAATGACACATTATCCCCAATTAGCCTCTTGCGCTGCACCCCTGTAGTCAATATAGACAAGACTGGCGGCTGGAGATTGAGATGTACGCTCGTTGCCAGCTACTTCATCCCTCGGGGGAAGAAGCTTGTAATTTTATTTTGTCTTCATTGTCTAACATGTGAAACACTTTCAGATACAAGTGGTGCTCCCTGTTTCTCGTACCCTTGTATAGTAAGACCTGCGACTCCAGGTTATACACACAGAGGGCTTCTCTGAAGTGCTTATCTCATAGCCTCAGGCTCTTCCACTCTGTCCTTCAATGCCCTCTTACTTCAGGGTGGGAGAGAGGGTGGACCCTTACCTATTTTATTCAAAATCTAGGTGCTTAGCTCATCCTCAGGGTGAGCCAGAAAAGTTATTGAGATGATGAATATCCGCGTGCTATATTGGTTTTCAGAACTTAAAACTCCAAAAGACTCTGCACGACTATGGACTCCCAGCCAGAAACTTGTATCTTGCAGTTAATAGAGATTAATTTTAATTAATTAATGTCTGTTATTTATATGCCACTCTGGACAGCTCCCAACAAAATAAAACCCTTTTGTGTTAATGAAAAAGAAGATAAGGCAAATATGCTCAATACCCAGCCGTTAGTAGTACTGAGCCAACCGCAACATTTTTTAAAAAAAGAAATATCAAATGAGCTCAAAACAAACGCTCTCACAGTCATCCAGCTGGAACCCCACTTGGGCAGTCGTTGTATGATATGAAACAACTGCCTCAGACAACAGCAGCGCCATAATGACTAATCCGGCACTGTACAGGCAACAACCGTTTTGCATGCGTTCAAAGCATGCGCAACCGTGCACACGTGCATCACCGCAAACCCAGAAGTGGCAGGAAAAGGGGGTGGGACCAGAATGGGGTGGACATGTAAGTCTCTGCCACTGCACACAAGGACCTGGAACGCAACCCCCCCCACACACAAATTGGGTGTCGCCTGTATTGTATTGTGTGAGATGGGTCAGATCTCTGCCACCTCCAAACTTCTATTCTTTTCAGAAGAGATAACACCGATATTTCGAAAGTAATATTGCACCACTACGCATGGCATAGTTTGATAACTTCATTGTGTGGCTGCTCAGTCCAAGCAAAGAATGAGATTCTGATGCTATCGATCAAGGAATCAATGCAACAAAGCTGTTGCATTTAGAAATGATGTCTGCAAAGCAAGAAGGAATGCGGCTAAAGAACTCTTGCTGCATCTCCCATTGATTTTTATACTACTTCCGTAACTTGAGGAAGGACGCACAAGTGAAGTCAATATACTCTGTGCTTTATCAGGGATGAATAACTAGCATGAGAATCAGAATGCCAGAAATGTGCCAAATTCAGCAACTGTCCTGTGTTAAATGATTGCCTATGTGCACATTTCTAGCAGGCATATTTAGGTTTTGATGTAGGTTCGTGGATTACAAGTCGTTACCTCCTCCGCTTTGCTGGACTCCATGCTGCCAGCAGCTCCACCGAAACATTTGCTTAAGTGTGAGTCTTTTATCAGCTCCATCTGAGGTTTTCATGTCAAAGTAATCTGAAAACAGAACACAACTGATGTAGCAATTTTGCACATCTTTTGGTTATGTAATAATGAAGAATTGTGTAACGTGACCATAAATTCTTTGAATCCAGTGTGACTATCACCTTAGTTCATGCAACGTTGGTTTCTAACCTGGATGGCGGATTGAAATATTGACCAAAATTTGAATTCAAAACGGTCATCTTGTCTTCCAATATGATGGCTTATACACACTACTTGCCGGAGTGACAAAATGACTTCTTTGGCATTCACTGCTTGTGGCAATGAGTTCTGTACAGGATGTACACCTTGACCTTTTTGTTTACCACTACCAGAGGAAAAAGGAGGACCTCTGCTTATTTATCTCATGTAACCTCATTTTTAGTTCTCCCCCAAGTTGATGAAATTCATTTTCATGAGCTTGAAACCTGAAGAAAATCACAGTTTAAGAAGTGAGAATATACAAAATCAGTGCCTAAATGTGGAATAAGGCACCTATCGCATGTTTAAACCTTACTAGAGGCCTATGCCTAGAGCAAGTTGAATTGCCATCAGGGAATCCAAAAAAGGTACTAGCAACTGATGAATACACTTTTCTGTCCAAGTACCATTTGCTAACATTTGTTTGTTTTCCTTCAAGGACCTCTGTGATGTTCATGATGCCCATGCTCTTCAAAGCACATATCAATCTCATGCCATACAAGGACAATGCTCTATAAAGCCAATGACAGAAGTCAACAAGGGACTGCATCAGATGAAGTCTAATGCCCTCAAGACAGTTCTCCAAACATCTTGCTTTACATCTATATGCTACTTCCTTGTCTCAGGCCTGACTGCAACTCCCATCTCCTTTCCTTCTAGTTATTTCATATGCCACACACCTGAAAACTATTGCTAACTGAATGTTCACACTTGCATGAAGGATACAGAAAAACCACTACCAGTCTTTCAAATCAACGGAATCAGGAAAGGTCAGAGCAAATATTTGCTATTGCGAGGATTTCCATTCACAAATGGTTTTAGAACAGCAGCAAGCTGAAGAATTAAAATTTGCCTCCTTCAGTCAAGTATCATTTGCAATATACCTATATTCATTCCTCCATGTGGGAAGTATCTGCACCACCCAATCCGATGCATGCAAGTGCTACAAGCCATACATTTAAAACTCAGCAACAACTTCCAAAAAGCTTGCAATGAAGACATTATTAATGTTGACTATATCATTAACGATCAGGACACGGCCTTAGTATGCAGACAGCCCTTGTGCAAACTTACTGAACATTTGGGGACACAGTGGAAGAGATCAGTGAATTATCTGCTTTACTAGCAAATCAAATCATTGCTAATGAATGACTCAATCCCAAAACAATGGTATATAAACATTAAGATTATAATTACCATAATGATGCAACGGCAAACAAAACTTTTTGTTTGACAAACAGCAAGCATTTGTTTAGGGGAACAGTATAATCAGAAAGCGGGGGAATAACCAGATTAAGACGCAAATTGTGGTGTTTTTCTCCTTACCGTGCTACTACAAGGAACTGATCTATCTGTTTGTCTATTAGTGGATTAAATGCTTCCCAAACTTTTGTTTCAAGTTTTGATTGGTCTCTGCCATCATCTTCACCTAAACAAATTCAAATAAAAAAAGGGTTTATCTAGGCAATCTGGCAAAACAAATAGCGTACTGATGAGGAGCTTGCCTTCCACAAATCTTGGAAACTACAGAAAACATTTAACGTTCACTGGTGAAAAATGCTACGGTTGTCTCTTTTGTAGTATTGCCAAGAAGAGTTTACCTCCGCAGAATAACATGAGTGAAAAGTACACATCCAACCATCCAGTACTTCATATGCCAGCCCCATTTCCCCAAAGAACCCACTTAATTCACATGTACACAAAAGCTTTGGAAATACAGAACCATTAGGTATCTCCTGCTCAAAGTGAACAAAAAATGGCAGTTCCGATCCAAAAAAAGAGCTGACCACACCTGCTGATCTCTTAAATGAGATCCCACTCCCTGACAAGGAGAATGACAACAAAGGCAAGCATGCTATTGGAGCAATGAACTTTGCAGAATAGTAAAGTTCTCCGAGACGGAGAATGCAGGAGTGTTGCTGATTTGTCTCTCTCCTCCTCTCTTGTGCAGCAGAGATGAATTTAAGACTGTGACGCGTCATGTCCTCCCTTCATTCACAAAAAACTGCTGGCTAATAACAGAAGAACAGAAGGAGAAGTCAAAAGAACTCTCCTGACAGGAAGGCTGAGTCAGGGAACTCTCTGTGCTAGCTCCATTCCCTGTGAGCCCCGGGTGCTAGGTGCCACCAGAGAAAGTCTCATGCTGGTAAAAAGTGCCAGGGAAAAGAAAAGGGGAAAAAAACCACAAGAAAAACACAGCAGATCTGCAGACTTACAGGAAAAGGAAGCTAAAGAAAGGACACCCTTCTTTAACCTAACAATGATGCTGCTATTATTATTATTATTATTATTATTATTATTATTATCATCATTATTATTATTAAGATCAAGAAGACAGATAAATGACATACACAGAAGAGGAATTAAGGCAAGGCAGAAAAAGGTAAAGACAAAACAAAAACCATTTCAAAGAGTGAACAATGCTAAGTTCTGAATAGAACATAGGACCCAACCGACCTGACTAGAGGCAGGGAAGATCTGGAGGGTGGGATAGCTCCTCCCCAAGCAAAACACTTGAAGGGGGCTGCATATCCTTGTCCAGTGGGAGGTGCCATCCTATTAACTGAATGTCCTCCAGTCCAAAAGTTTTTTGTGTTTTTTAAAGAGTGTTCCATATAATTTATTCCAAATTTTTCAGATTTAAGCTTAGTGTAAAGTTGAATCTGAATTTTAAATGTCTGCGTTTCTTAGTCTGGAATTATTTTAAAATGCTGGAAGCTGCTGTGAAACATTTTAGAAAAACACTACACAGTAAAAATATTTTAACAGAGGTAAACCAAGATCAAGTCCCATTACAGAAACTATGTATGTTTGAGTTATGTTTATGTATGTTTATGTATGTTTGGACAGCATGAAAGGACTAGTTAGTGTTACACATCATGGGATATAGAGGCTGTGAGAGCATTCTGCAGTTCCTCAAACAAAAACCTTAGAGCCCAACAGTTTCCAAAACATTCCCACAACACAACATGAATTCTTTATGGATTCATGCAGAAATCAGAAATGAAACTACCTTCTTTCAGTAAGTCTGTTACATCAGCCTGGTATTTGTTTCCAACTCTGATTTCTCCCTTATCAGCTAGAAGAGTCTTCTGCTGTGGATCATATACTAGTGAATAAAAAAAGAAGTCCTGGGGACAGGAAGGGAAGTAAAAATTATAGCATTTCCAACAACCTGAATCATGAGTATAGAGTCATTCCTAACCATTTTTGCACCATCAAACGAGAACAGAAAACCTGGTGGTGAGAAATCAAATGCATATAAAGCATGAAGTCATGAAAAAAATAAAAATTGTACCTTTTACAAAGTATCATCTTAGGAAGGAGACAGCAATGTGCATCAAATACATTGGGAAATGCAGGTGTGTATTGTGAAAGTAAAATTTAAGTTGCTAGGCAGGATGTTCCAATCTAGGCTCTCCAAGATAGCATTCTCAGAAATGCTACCTGTTCCATGTTTGGAGTCAGCTAGATATAGCTGTGCAACCTCAATGGGTGAATGAGATAAGAGTGTTGACAGGAGGAGTTTAGATTCGCTAGGCACCAGAAAACCATTTGACCAAAAATGATGAGTTCTACCCGGCGTTTAATAGCAGAAAAATTGCAGAATATTGTGGAGTTACACAGTCTTGCTGGCTCCCCTGAGCTTGCTTCTCCATTTCTTGGTTCCTCAAACTTCACTCTACGGGTGGTTGTGCAAAGCATGCTCGGGCAAGCATGCCTAGATGCTATCATCAATGAATTAAATTGACTCTCATTTATAGAGAGAAGCAGTAGGATTCGAATGCATCTACACCTGCTCCATTTGCCAATATAGGCACACACTTCTATTTGGCACCTAATCAACAGGTTGTTCTTTTCTATTTCTTCAGCTTAGGATTTGCCATGACATTTTGGCACTCCAGTTTGGCACTTGGCACTAAAGATCCTTATTCAGTTTTGCAGGCAACCTCTCATTTGCTCCTTAACTCTGTCCCTTCTACACTGTGTCCCATATTTCTGATCAGTTAGCATTTCCACTTTTTGTTATGGAAAAATCCCTCTCTCCTCTAGACAAGGCGTCAACCTTGCTCACTTTTTCATCTTAAGAGAACTTCCTCCCTCATGAAGCTTCACCTTTAAGTTAACGTACCTAGGACACCAAATCGCTCCATTTGCAGACTGATTTCTAAGAGATGTTCATGAATATACCAGAGATGTTCATGAATTGCCAAATATACTATTTAAAGAATTGCCTTCATATGCAGCACTAAGAAGTTATGCCGAAACAAACTGCATTGGAGTCTAAATGTTTACAGAAGCCCCATCACAGCTCCTGAAGCCTCAGAAAAGACGACAGTAGTATCTTAGAACTGTATGTTTTACAAAAAGTGAAATACACTAAATAGAGGACTTTAGTCCCAGCCATGCCCACCTGTAATTTAGGTGGTATTTCTTCATAGTACGATCCCAAGATGGTGGTAATATTGTCCCACTTCAAAGCATTATTGTAGACCATGACTTGGTCACTGTGCTCCCAGAAGCCACTGCACATTATGCTCCGCCACAACTTCCTGGTTTGAAACAAACCACAGTTTGCCATTACATCTGAATCGAACAAACCATGGTTTGCTTTTTTAGAAAGGCAGAAGCCACCTTCAAACCATGGTTTCTAATTCTGGTTTAGAGGCAAGCTATGATTTGCACACGCCACAGTTGGTGCGGTTTGGATGCCACAGCAAAGTGCTATGAACCAGGAAATCAAGGAGGAAGGTGGATCATGCCATTTGGTCCTGAGCCTAGGGCTTGCTGATCAGAAGGTTGGCGGTTCAAATCCCCATGATGGGGTGCACTCCCATTGCTCGGTCCCTGCTCCTGCCAACCTAGCAGTTTGAAAGCACATCAAAGTGCAAGTAGATCAATAGGTACCGCTCCGGCGGGAAGGTAAACGGCGTTTCTGTGCACTGCTCTGGTTCGCCAGAAGCGGCTTAGTCATGCTGGCCACATGACCCGGAAAAATTGTCTGCGGACAAACGTCAGCTCCCTTGGCCAGTAAAGCGAGATGAGCACCGCAACCCCAGAGTCGTTTGTGACTGGACTTAACTGTCAGGGGTCCTTTACCTTTTTAACATTGGACAAGTGCTTTAAACAAGTGTGGCAAAACAACTTGGAAGATTTTCAGTTTCATATATCTGTGCCTACCTCACGTTCCAGATAGGATTTAAGGGATTCTGTTTCATTTAAGAGTGTAACACTGCATTTGCCTCTAAAAAAAGAAAGAAAAATAAGATGAGAAAAAAGGGCATTTGGAATGCCTGCATTACGTAAAATACAAATATGTTCTTAGGTTTATTAAAAACCATTACACAAAAAATCTAATTATTCAGTCCACACCTAATATGAGTGGCTGGTAAGGATTCCAATTGACGTGAGAGAAACAGTTCTCGGTGTCGCAGTTGATGTTTCTGTTTCTCTGGTAAATCAATCTTTTCTGGGTTTTCCATCTCTTCTTCCATTTCTCCTAGTTGAAGATGAAATAGCATTAATCTGTGAAGACGGTTGAAATAGTACTTCAATGCACTGCCAGATGCAATTTTTACATTTAAATTTAACTACCCAGCATAGCATCAGATCGTTCTTGTAACAGAACATTGCTATATGGCCAACTTTTTTTTTTTTAAGATGCAACCCTGTTATCTCCTGCTTCAGGTCATGATTTGCATGTGCATGCTAGGGATGCAAAGAAAATAGAATTAGTGAACTCACTGCATAATTTGTGAACTACCTTGGTCTCATGGTTACCGGGCTAGGACATGCCCAAAAGGTTGATGTCATTCACTACACCAGAGGAGGCATCAGATGTTGACATCATCAAGCAGCTGCTAAGGCTTAGAGCCCAACCACTTCAACAGAAATCCTATTTCACCACTTTTTCTAGGACTTATTGAAAGCATAATAGTTGCCTACAGCTTCATTGCAGCTGCTGTGGCACTAAGCTGACAGACATGTAGACACTGTGACAGATCTATGCATGCACAGTCTAATCCCATGCAAGTTTACTCAGAAGCAAGTCCTGTCAGTTTAGCAGGAATATAGAAATTGAGAGGGGTATAACCTATCAAAAGGAATAGACCAAACAGGAAGGGAGGAGTAGCATTATATGTAAAGGATGTGAAGAGATCCAAGACTTGGAGCATGGAAGGAAGACTGAGAGCATAATGGTGAACATTTCAGAAGAGAGAAACAACAGTGACATTACTGTAGGTGTCTGCTAAAGACCACCAAGACAGACTGAAGGTTTGGATGATGTCTTCCTAGAGCAGATTACCAAGCATTCAAAAAGGAGATATATATTAGTAATGGGAGACTTCAACTTCCCCATGATCTGTTGGAACTCAGCTCTGCCAAGAATGTGTTGTTGTTGTTGTTGTTTAGTCGTTTAGTCATGTCCGACTCTTCGTGACCCCGTGGACCAGAGCACGCCAGGCACTTCTGTCTTCCACTGCCTCCAGCAGTTTGGTCAAACTCATGCTGGTAGCTTCGAGAACAATATCCAACCATCTCGTCCTCTGTCGTCCCCTTCTCCTTGTGCCCTCCATCTTTCCCAACATCAGGGTCTTTTCCAGGGAGTCTTCTCTTCTCATGAGGTGGCCAAAGTATTGGAGCCTCAGCTTCACGATCTGTCCTTCCAGTGAGCACTCAGGGCTGATTTCCTTCAGAATGGATCGGTTTGTTCTTCTTGCAGTCCATGGGACTCTCAAGAGTCTCCTCCAGCACCATAATTCAAAAGCATCAATTCTTTGGCAATCAGCCTTCTTTATGGTCCAACTCTCACTTCCATACATCACTACTGGGAAAACCATAGCTTTAACTATACAGACCTTTGTTGGCAAGGTGATGTCTCTACTTTTTAAGATGCTGTCTAGGTTTGTCATTGCTTTCCTCCCAAGAAGCAGGCGTCTTTTAATTTCATGGCTGCTGTCACCATCTGCAGTGATCATGGAGCCCAAGAAAGTAAAATCTCTCATTGCCTCCATTTCTTCCCCTTCTATTTGCTAGGAGGTGATGGGACCAGTGGCCAAGAATGTAGGGTCTGACAAATTCCTCCATTGCCTCGCTGACAATTTCATTTCCCGAGGGTTGAAGAAGCAACAAGGGGATCATCTACCTTGGACCTGGTCCTCATCAACAGAGAGGAACTGACTGATGAAGTGGAAGTGCTGGAAGCCTTGGGAGAAAGTGATCATGTTCTCCTGGGTCTCATGATACAAAGCCAAAGGAAAGCTGAGGGTAGATTGTTATGCACTCTGGACTTTAAGGCCGATTTCAGAAAGCTTAAGGAACTACTGGGTGAGATCCCAGTCAGAAATACTCAAAGAAAAGGAAGTCCAAGATGGATGGGGATTTCTTAAAGGTGAAATGTCGAAGGCAAAAAGGCAGAAAATTCCAACTAGAAGAAAAGTGGGAGGCATCTAGAAAACTGGTGTGGCTGCATAAGGAGTTTACAGATGAGCTGAGAGTTAAGAATGGCATGTATAAGAAATGGAAGAAAGGAAAAATCACAAAGGAGGAGTATATGCAACTAACCAACAGTTGTAGGGGGAATGTCAGGCAGGCCAAAGCTCAGAATGAACTCTGACTTGCAAGAGAAGTTAAAAACAAAGGATTTTTCAGCAGGAGTAGTGGAAAAGACGAAGAAATGCGATTGGGTAACAGATAACAGCTCAACCCCTACTTTGCCTCTGTCTTCACCCAAAAGGAAAGCAATGCCCATCTGGTGATAACAGAATAAATGAGGGAAGGAAGGAGCTGCAGCCCAAGACAGGAATAGAGGTAGTAAGGGAACACCAAGCTACTTTAAATTAATTCAAATCTCCAAGGCCTAATGAGCTGCCCCCAAGGGAGCTTGTGGATGTAATCTCAGAGTCTCTGAGAGAACCCCCAGGGTGGAACATGAGGAGTGGGAAGGGGGGAATCATTCTGTCTGGCATGCTTGAACATTTGTGCAGACAAAACAATTGGAAGAGCACAACACTGCGTTCCATCCAGCAGCTCCCTTTAGCATGTTATTTAAAACTAAGTCAACAGTTTATAATTTAAGTTAATAATATAGAAAGCTTACTTGCATGTTTGTCAGCCAGTACAATTAATGTGCTTGAGATGTCCCTCCGTCTATAGAAACACACCACTTTTGCTTCTACGTTTCCATTGGCTGTCTGTCATAGTGAGCAAAATAATAATAAAAATTTAATTTCAGGTGGGAAGCTTAAATGGTAGGCATATAAATGCTTTATTACTAACTACACCACAGAACACCAATACTAAAAACCAAAATGAAGCAGAATGCAAATTTTATAATACTCAATTTATAATGTACTTTGCAACCAAATGATTTCATTTTGATTATTTTTCTTTGCGTTTTAGTACACACGATCATTAGTGAGTGAAGGAAAAAGGTACGATGTAATATTCTAAACATCAAACTATATTCTGTTACTATAGATCTTAAGACAATTTTCTAATTAAAACCTAGAGATCAGCTCTGGGGGAAATCAGACACATTAACTTCAACCTGAACTGGAGAGTTACAGAGTTCCTACAGTTATCCATGCTGTCCGGTAACCTCTTGTTTTGGTTGCTTCAATTACTCATTTCGATTAATCATTATGAAATTATGAAAGGCACTAAGAATCACACAAATGGCCAGTTTTCAAAGAAATTGATATAATATTTATACTATGTATAAGCTGCCATTGTACAGGGCTATTTATAGGACTGTCTATGAACAGGATTTACTTAAAGCAAGCTTTTGTCATATATCTGAGTCAGCACCATGGACTTTTTATATTTATGCAATTATTTCATACTCAATTTTAAAATTCTATTACATTATCTTAATGCCCAGCTATAACTATATACAACTATAGCTGTTCGTATTCCTACAAGGGAAACTGAGCAGCATGTCCAAGTGAAATGAATGGGAAACATTTTTAAATTTCACTTCAAAATAGGACAATGAATACCCCCAAAGCAGCCGCAAAGTTATTTGCATATTTCTTGCATGACTGATGTCCAGAAGATTTTGGATTTCAGGACAATCCCACCACATGGGGAGGTATGTGCTGTGGAGGCGCTGCCTATCCAGCATTTTGGTGAGACTCCTGAGCATATCAGCACTAGTTTCCTTTGCCTTAGGTACAATCTGAGTTCTTTCCTTTTAGCTGAGATGGATTTAAAGAGAGGTTTAGACCACATTCCAGTCCATTGGGTGGGGTCTATGCAGGGACGCGGACTTATAAAAAATATTGGGGGGGCCCGGGAAAGCTCATGAATAATAAATAAGCTCATGAATATGCAAATAAAGTGGCGCCGCCTCCTCGTGAGCGAATAGGGGAGAGCGTGCTGCGCCTATTAATCAGCTCCAAAGGAAATTGGGTGGAGCTTTTGCTCGGGAGGGAGGGCAGGAGGCATGCAGCCCGCCCCTCCCTGTGCATTTTGGGCTGGGGGAGGGGCGGTGATGGCGCTCTGCTGGAGGGGCGCCGGAGATTATTGGGGGGGGCGGAGCCCCCCCAAACGAATTTTTGAGGGGGCTCGGGCCCCCTCAAACCCCATGGAGTCGGCGCCTATGGGTCTATGCCATCCTCCCATTGTTTTTTGATTATGTTGATGGGTTTTGTGGGATTTTGGAGCAGTATTTTGTATTTTGTGGATACCACCCTTTGCTGTTAGGAGGAGGCTTTCAAAGATTATCATGGGCCTAGCTGCTGCTGACTTCACTACTGCAGGCATGTCCAAAGTCCGTTTCGGGGGCCTAATCCGGCCCGCCGGTCAGTTTAATCCGGCCTCTGTGGCAGTTTATTTCCTAGGGTAAAATCCAAAAAAACCCTCAACAACTTCAATCCTAAAAAAAGGTTAACAACTTTGGTTGGCCCTTTGGTTGGCCCCCATGGCCCTTCACTTCATCAAATCTGGCCCTCTTTGAAAAAAGTTTGGACACCGCTGCACTACTGTACAGTGGTGACTCTGCTTACGTACTTAATTCGTTCCGGAGGTCTGTTCTTAACCTGAAACTGTTCTTAACCTGAAGCACCACTTTAGCTAATGGGGCCTCCTGCTGCTGCCACGCCGCCGCCGCCACGAGATTTCTGTTCTCATGCTGAAGCAAAATTCTTAACCCGAGGTACTATTTCTGGGTTAGCGGAGTCTGTAACCTGAAGTGTATGTAACCTGAAGCGTATCTAACCTGAAGTGTATGTAACCCGAGATACCACTGTATTGTTTAAGAAGGCATGTCAATGGTGGTGTGTTAGCCAGGGTATCTGGGTGTCTCCTAGTTTGTCTTGTATTTCTTGTGTCAATGTGGGTTTGTTATTTTTGTAAAAGTCTGCTAGGCGGCATAAGCCTTTGGTTTGCCAGGTTTTTATCTGGAGGTTTTGTGCTGCGTGGCAGAATATTGGGTGGTGAGCCAGGGGGATTAGTGGGGATGGGTTAGGGACAGTTTGCCTGCTTCTTCCTTCCATGTGCTGACCCCCTATTTCAATATATTTTTTTATTCTATCACTTTACAAAAAGGTAATTGAGAGTTAGCTGAAAATTATAAAAACTGTTAGCAAAACTAACAAGTACAGCCAATACCTTCAAAAGTCACTGAGTGCACTGGTATTTTTTTTACCTTATTGAGTTCTTCTATTCTCCTTATCAAATATGGATTACTTGAAGAGTTTTCAAAGTAGACATAATCTGGGGAGGGAAAAACAATCTTGAAGTACAAGTTTTAGACACCTAAAGCTTATAAATAAGGAAGAATGGCTACTTTTTTTTTTACCCACTCCCTCCCAGAGACACACATTCACACCACCTTTAAAGATAGCTTGTTTGTGCCATCATCAAATGGAGTGATATCTTCCCCACTACCAATACTTATGCATCACTCACTCCCCGTGGGCTCAGGCAGTTATGACACATCAAATCCATTCCAGTCCATAAAGGTAAAGGTAAAGGTACCCCTGCCCGTACGGGCCAATCTTGCCAGACTCTGGGGTTGTGCGCCCATCTCACTTAAGAGGCCGGGGGCCAGCGCTGTCCGGAGACACTTCCGGGTCACGTGGTCAGCGTGACATCGCTGCTCTGGCGAGCCAGAGCCGCACACGGAAACGCCGTTTACCTTCCCGCTAGAAAGCGGTCCCTATTTATCTACTTACACCCGAGGGTGCTTTCGAACTGCTAGGTTGGCAGGAGCAGGGACCGAACGACGGGAGCGCACCCCGCCGCGGGGATTCGAACCGCCGACCTTTCGATCGGCAAGCCCTAGGCGCTGAGGCTTTTACCCACAGCGCCACCCGCATCCCCAATTCCAGTCCATATTCCTCCCCAAATTGCTCCTGCACTCATCAATTCTGGTCTACAGGCAGCTTAGCTTGGAACTGCCCACTTCTGGTCCTCCCACAATAGTTAGGCAGCAATATCACTTGAGAGAAACAGCAGCCAGTCTGCATGAATCCTTCGACAGCAAAGGAGGGCTCAAAATTCCACCCTTCTCACTCAGACGGACACTTCCGCCCATTTGCCAGGTCAAAAACCATTGTTGGCAGGGAACAACTCAGCATAAATCTTTTTTTTAAAATAAATAAAAAACCTGCTGCAGATTATTTTTGCATACAGTGGTGCCTCGCAAGACGAAAAGAATCCATTCCGCGATTCTCTTCGTCTAGCGGTTTATTCGTCTTGCGAAGCAAGCCCATTGACAGCTTAGCGGATTAGCGCAACAGCGGTCTAGCAGCTTTCAGCGATCAGCTGTTAAGCGGCTTATCAGCGGAACAGCTGATAAGCGGCATAGCGCCTTAGGAAAAGGGGGGGGAGCGGGGAAAACCCGCGGGGACTCGCAAGATTTTTTCGTCTTGCGAAGCAACCCCATAGGGAAATTCGTTTTGCGAAGCGCCTCCAAAACGGAAAACCCTTTCATCTAGCAGGTTTTCCGTCTTGCGAGGCGTTCGTCTTGCGGGGCACCACTGTACTGCTATGGGAATATCATTGACAGACCATATAAAAATACTTATAGTAAATAATAATAAACCCATACAGATGTGTGGGTTTTAGAGGATGATTCCAGGAATGGATCTAAAGAGAGAGATTAAATTGCCGTATTTTTCTGTCTATAAGATGCCCCCATGTATAAGATGCCCCCTATTTTGGAGGCAACAACCAATTGCCAGTCCACCCTCGGCACTATCCATGTATAAGACGGCCAGTGATTTTTGACATATTGGGGGCGGGGTGACCTAGTCTTATACATAGAAAAATACGGTAGTTTGTGAATAAAGATTAAGGGGAGAGGGGAGATTTAAAAGAGAAGGGAGGGAACTCCTAAAGGGACTTCCGGGTTAGCGCCTCCGGCAATGGCGGATTTCCTCTGATCGGAAGGAATCCGCTCCGTGGAAATCAGGGTCTGGACCGCCACGGCGAGGCGGAGACCCACTAAAAACCACAGGCGAGAGAAGCCTGTGGACGTGGGATTCGGCTGGCACCTTTTGCGCCTCCCCTACTCGCGGGGAAACCCGGTTTCGGGGATCCGGAGCGACGTGGGGTGAGCGGCGCGGTGCTTCGAATCGACTGCTACTTTCTGCCAACCTTTGATAATACAGTGAGCTCCTCCCCTGCTTCCCTTTTAAAACTAATCTCACTGCCATCTCAGAGGCAGGGTGGTATGGAGTTAGTGTGAGAGACTCCCCAAAGCCTTTGTGAATCTGTTCCTCTTTGAGATGACAGCAAGATCAGGCTTCAAAAGAAGACTGCCCTTTGAAAGCATTGCCTGCACACCAGACTTCTCCCTTTGGCAAAAATTGTCCCATCGCCCCATTTTACAGGGGTGGAGGGAATTTTTGAAAGCTGTTTGCAAAAGGTGTCTTTTGCAAACAACAGTTACTTGCAATGTTTTCAAAAGACAACTTTATTTCTCCCCTCCTCATTGGTTCCCCAACCCTGGTTTAAACAAACCATGAACAGTAAGCCAGACAAACCAATAAATACCGTATTTTTCCATGTATTTTGGGGGATTCCAAATTAAGAAAACACCATTTATATGACGAGCCCCAATTTCAAACCTAATTTTTTGGTTAAAAACCTAGTCTTATACATGGAAAAATACAGTATATCAATTTGTAATAAAAGGGAATTTTAAAAAAGGAATAGGTCATCATTTTTTAAAGTCTCATTACATATCTGATGTAAAGACATGCCACATGCCTAGTGGCAGCTCATGCATCCAAGTTACAAGAAAACATTCACCTAGAGCAGTGTTTTTCAACCTTTTTTGGGCAAAGGCACACTTGTTTCATGAAAAAAATCACGAGGCACACCACCATTAGAAAATGTTAAAAAAATTAACTCTGTGCCTATATTGACTATATATAAAGTAATTCTCTTGAATAGGAATCAAATAAACACAAAGAAAGTATTTTATAATTACTTTATTATGAAATAGTAAGTAAACAGAAATATGAAAAATTATAAAATACTTTATTCAGTGCGCAACCTGGGCCTGTTTGGCTGAACACAAAGCTGATATTCTGGCTGGAATCGAACGTTGCGGACCGTTCTCTGCTCAGCGGGGATCGATCCGCTGATCCCCGCTGAGCCGGCAGATGACAGCTCCGTCTCCGCACTGTGTGCGGAGAGGGAGATGTCAGAGCCCCGCTGCTCTCTATGGGGAATTGGATGAGAGCGGACCGCCTGTCCGCTCTCATCCGATCCCATGCGATCTGATCCCCACCCAGGACGGATGGAAAATAGGGTGGACACAGTCCGGCGTCCGCCTAGTGGACGAAAATTTGACATTTTTTTAATAAAAAAAATCTTTCAAATTTTTCAATTTTTCCCACGGCACACCAGGCAACATCTCGCGGCACACTAGTGTGCCACGGAACAGTGGTTGAAAAACACTGACCTAGAGCCTAAGAGTCAATGCTATAATTCCATGGAAACTGGCTATAACAGACATCAAAACCACTGGCATATATTCAATTGCAGGACGAACTGCACAGAACATGCCTGCAGTGTGCACATATCTAACACTGGCACATACTAAGGGGTATCAAAAGTTTAGAAATTGCCACAAAGATTACATTAAGAGCACTAGCACGCAATGAAAAGTTGCCAGGGTGCGGAGGTTTACACACAAGTGCCTTACGCATTCTTTCAAGCAGTAAATAATAAAGCACAGCAGAACAATTTAAGCAGGAGATAAGAATGCTGTAGAACACAATGGTAGATTAAGAAAATAATGTGCTAGGTGCCCAAAAGGTTTCAAAAAGCTGCACACTCCTTCGGATGTCCAACCTGCTGTTTGACTATAATGTTTTCATTATTCCATTCTAAATCATTTAGCTCATTTTGGTCACTTATGCATCAGAAAGTCCCAAAAGCCAGGCAATCAGTGTCACAGCCCTATCATTAGGCAAAATGAGGCAACCACCTCAGGTAGCATATACCAACAGGAAGGCCCCCCCCCCAATCTTTGTGTGCTAGGTGGCCTCTGCTGCCACATCTGAAACTGCCCTTAGGTGCAGTTAGAGATGGGAAGGCCTGGGGGAAAAACTGGGGGGAAATGGGGGGGCACCAGTTTTTTTCAGTTTTTCCCCAAAGCTGTTTGGGGGGGAAAAACAGGAAAAAATCATGCAGTAGTGTTGTCAGTGTTGAAGTCATGTTCAGCTACCAGTCAGGGCAGCTTTTGTGACTACAATGGGAGAGTTGCCATCTTGTCCTTTGCCTCAGGCAGCAAAATGTTTTGGGACAGCCCTGCAAGCAAGCAACAAATAGGTGAGTCTAAGTGCAGCTTTTGAAGAAATCCTCTACTCTGTAGTGTATGAGGAGATCCCTGAATAAAGAAGTTGCAGTGTTTGTTTGCTGTGCATGCCATGCTTATATATATTATATATATTTATTTTTAGATGTGTTTTTAGTTTTAGATTTTGTGATTTATGTGGAAATTGTTTTCCATTTGGCTGCGTACCTTTTGATGTGTTTTGTTTATTGTTTATGATTTTTGTTATGTTGGTAATTATGTAAATCTTGTCATGTTGTAAGCCACCTTGAGCGTTGTTTTAACTATGGAAAGGCAACATACAAATAAAATGATATTGATGATATAGCTTGTGGTTTTATACAGAATTAGCCATAAGAGAAATGGAGAAGTTTAAATAAATTTTTCTAAATTAATTTCCTCCGGCAGTGCTGATCCATTAAAAAAACTTGTTACTACAGTATGAACTTATTTAACTCTGTGTGTTTTAGATACAGTAATACCTCCGCAAACCTTCACTCCGTTGACCGTCGATTTTGGCGAATGTCCGCAGCAAATCCAGAAGTACCGGAACGGGTTACTTCCAGGTTTGCCGCTAGCGCACGTGCAGAAGCACTAAATCGCACTTCAAGCATGCGCAGAAGCACAAACCGTTCTGCGTGTGTGCGCAGAGCAGCGCTTTGTTGAGCATCCCTTTCGTTGAGTGTCCGGGGCTCCAGAACGGACCCCAGACTCAAAACAACGTACCACTGTACACGTACAAGATACAGAGAGGTTACACAAGTTGCAGATAAACCTTCAGGCCTGACACACTATCAAGGCTTAAACTTCCAGATTCAACCATTGAAATGCTCTCTTGCCCCTGCAACCTCATCATACAAAACTCTCTCAACATAACCCATGTTCTGCTAGAGTAGACAGGGCAACAAATGGACCAAAGCTG